AGGGAGGGGAGTAGCAGCTGTAATTCGAATCTCTACAGGTGAGGATGTGAACGATTCATCTGACAATCGACGTTTGTGGACTACAGTTTGAGGAACTTGCAGCGTTGCTTTTCCTGAATCTATGTAGGTCTGAATCTCCTGCTCTATGAGACTCTCCTGACCCCCCAGCTCCTCAGTAACTACTACTTCCTGGGTGACACCTGCCTTTTTTGATGCTTTCTTATCCAAAATCTCAAGAGTACCACTGCAGATTGATTTATCATGCTTGTTGGTTATGATACACTCATAAGTCCCCTCATGATCTGTCGTTGGATAGAATACAGTGAGCTTAGAGTTGTTTGATTTGATCATGATGTCATAATCTGGGTTGCGGTCCAATGACTGGCCATCTTTGAGCCAGCTAACAACAGGTGGAGGATCACCCTGAAACTGGCAAGTGAACTCTGTCATCTCACCAGTTTTAACTTTAAGTGAAGATATGTCTTTTAAAAATACCGGGGGTGAGCCTGGAGAATCCACATGCCTTTGTTTTACCCTCTGGGACTCTGGAAGTTTAATCTCCTTCTTTATAGCAGTTTGTGCAGAACTTCCCGCTCCAGTTACTCTAAGTCTAACTGAATCTTCACTTTCTTCAACTTTCTCTGTACCTGCTAAACCTTTCTGTTGTCGCCATCCACTACTCTCTCCAGCAGTTCCTGCCTCCTCTTTTATCCCTCGCTTATCTCTTACATCTGTCTGGAAACGCTGGTGGCTGGATTTATCGGCGGTCATACTATACTCCTCCCTACTCCTCATTCTCTCTGATGCTCCACCCACATCACCTGATTGAAGAGCTTTTTCATTAGCAAAAGGCCCAGCCACCTTAAGAGGAGAAGTAGTGCCTCGGAGAGGCATCTGGGTTTCAGAAGACTGTTTACTTTGTGCAGCTCGTCGTTCAGCTGAAAGTCTTGCATTTGGTGATAAAGCACGGAGTTCACGGTCCATCGGAGGAAGATGGGGCTCTAACACAGGTCCAGGCTGTTTGCACTGACTGTCTAAAGCCCACTCTGACTCCAGCTCAGACACTTCCTCTTGCTCAACAACATCTTGCTGCCATTTCAGGATACGCTGAGCCATTGCTTCTTCCTCGCTTACAAAGTACTCGCTGTCCGTCTGCAGTCTGGTCTCGCGGCCCTCTGTCGGCACTTCCTCAGCTAGCGGCCACTGAGGAATATCTGATTTCTGATCTTGGAAACCTGCTGGAGCCGAGGTGGTTGGCAGCTGCTCCTGAGCTGTTTGACCAGGAGAAATCCTCCTGCTGTGGGCCAAAGTGGGCTGCTGAAATGTAGGCAGAGCAGAGGTTTCTGGGAAGATTCTTCCAACCTCAGGAGTCGTCTCAGCCTGGAACGGAGGATAACGCTCTGCCCAGTCAGACTCTAGCTCCACTGGCTGCTGTTGCTCCATCAGAACATCTTGTTGCCATCTCATGATTCTCTGAGTCAGGGCCTCCTCTTCACTGACACATTTCTCACTCTCCAGTTCTGAGATGTTCTCTCGTGAAAGCTGCAGCTCTCGTTCTTCTTTCGTCTTCTCAAACAACTTCTTCTCTGTTCTGACTTTTGTTCTAGGTGACTGAACATCCTCCTCTTTTGCTTTACCTTTCATTCTAGGTGATTTATGTGCCAGGACTGGAACCTCTTTTTCCTGTTCTTGTATTGGGATTTTACTTCTGGCTTTAGGAGAGGGTGCAGATGTTACTTCACGTTCTGCTTTACCTGCCACTGTTGCAGGTTTTGAGTTTGGATTTGGTAAATTAACTACATCTAACGGTGCTCCTTTCTCCATCACCTGCTGTGAAGAAATGACCTCCTTAGACATCATGTACTGATTATCTGCTGGTAGAGGCAGATCAGTTTCAGGGTGAAAAGCCTCTTCCTCTGACATTCGGACACCTTGCTGCCACTTCCTGATCCGCAGAGCCAGAAGTTTCTCCTCGCACTCCATCCTTTCAGCCTCCAGACTTTTCTCATACTGATCCCTCAGAGACTCCTCTGGTTTATCTGCTGGTTTAACTGGATCAAAAGAAGCAGATTTATCTACTTCCAATCCTCTGACTTCTTTTTTAGGTGATTTTGGTGGTGCCACTTCAAGTCCTAGAGGCCTTGCCTTCAACATGGGAGATTTGTGTTGAAGAGAGATTTGTGTGGCTTCAGTTCCCTCAGCTGATAATTTCTCAGCCACCTCCTGCTTGGTGTAAGGGTGCCCTGTAGGTTCCATGTATTGTATTTCAGCTGGCAGAGGAACATCAGTTTCTTCGTGAAATGTTTCTTGCTCTGACATCAAACTTCCTTGCTGCCACTTCCTGATCCGCAAAGCAAGAAGCTTGTCCTCACACTCTTTTCTGTCGGCCTCCAAGCTCTTCCCATACTGAGCCCTTAATGATTCCTCCTCATAGGACTCATCTCCTTCAGAAGGTACGGGGGCTTCAGATATTACCTCCTCACTAAAGACAGATGCTTCTTCTTGAACAGAAGTCCTGGTTTCTTCAATTTTGTGGAGCAGCTCAAACTCGGCCTTTGCCGTCTCCACCTTTTGCTCTTCACTTTCACCTGCCTGAGACTCACTGACGTTTTTATCCTCCAGTGTCTCTGTGAATTTGTCACCAGACTTTCTTTCTCTCTGATGTGTTGTGTCAACTAGCTCACCTTTCATGATCTGAATGGCTCTTGTTCTGGATTGAGGCTCAAACAAATGTCTCTTTCGAGGGTGAGAAGGTTCCCTGGTTAACTTTTTCTCACCCTGATTCAATGTTCGGTGCTGGACGTCAGGCAGAGAGGTGGGCTTGACCCTCAACTTCTCCACATACTCTGCATAGCTCGACTCACTGGCGACTGACTCGACCTCAAACTCAGAGGAGGACATGGTGGAAATAGAAAGCCTTTTCTTTTGTTTCACTGCTTTCTGCAGGGTTGTAAGCTTTGCTCTGACCTCATTGTGGAGGCTTTCTGTGTCACTGAACCTGTCGCTGTATCTGTCGCTGCACCTGTCACTGAACTTATCACTGAATCTTGCCCCAGTGCGTCGGTCACAGTAGATATCACTGAACCTGTCGTTAAAACGCTCAGACCTGTCAAACATGGGGGGAGGAGACGGGGCGCGCTCAGAGGCAGTCTCTAAACGTTTGGATTCCTTTTCTGATGGTTTGTCTAAAGAACCCGTACTAGATCTGAAGTACACAGTTCTCACTAAAGCACGTTTGGATCGGGATCTGCCCTGGTGGACTTTGGACATTTTGTCAAATGGAGATCCTACACACCTGAGATCAACTCTGAACTTCCTCTCCTTCCTCTGCTCTGCCAAGTTGTCTACACTCTCATGGGCCTGGGCAGAGCGCCGAACAAAGCCAAGGTAGTTAGCGGATTGCTCTTCCCTAAGCGAAACCAAAAGTGATGCTGTGGACTCAGCAGAACCTTCTGAGTTTAATGCCATCACCTTGTAACTGCCGGAGTCTTTCTCCCTGATACTGTCAATGAAAAGACACGTAGTGTGCATGTGCATCCTGCTGTCGGTACAGATCCTACGTCTGCGTTCCTTGGGGATAGATCTATTGTTATGAAACCAAAGAATAGTCGGCACAGGACAAGCGATCAGTTTACACTTTAACTCCACTGGTTCTCCCTCCAGAACTGACTGAAACTTGAGTTTCTTTGTGAACGACGGCTTCATGTTCTCTGTCCAGGAGCCGATTGACGAAGTTCTGCTTGAGCAGCGGTTAGCTGATACCAAGCCGTGATCGAGGAACTCCTCTGTGTCAGAGAAAGCTCCGCGGAGATGTCGGGTGCCGCTGAGCTCAGTGATGCTGTGTGCTTCTGCAAACAGAAACAGACGACAGTCAGAACGACACGAGGTCTGGAGGTAAAGGGATGGAAAAGATGATCTTTAATGGAAATATTAAAATGCATGCTGGGAGTCACAATGCCATAAAAAATAATTTCACTCACCATATTTGTTCGAATAAACGCAAGACTTGATTCTTTTTAATAGAAACCTGCAGGAAGTTTTGATCCTTCGTCTGTGGAAATTTCTTCAAAACATGAATTATTTTATTATTGTTAAAACATGACGGCCAACATCCGCTTGTTTTCTCTCTGATGGTTGAGTTTTTACTTGAATGTTCCTTACCTGACTTGCAGACAGGAGAATAAACGCCCTTTCTAATCCTTAACAGGAAATGAATGAAGCACAAGCTCTCCAATACATATTTTTGATTTCAGAACATTAAGAATTGAAGCCGTAAAATTGGGCGAGAAAGGCGTTTATTCGAACTAATATAGTTTGACTGGTGTTATTTTGGAAGCAAACCACAGGAATCACATCCCACTATCTGCAAGCCAGGCTAGGACATATTCTGCAGGAAGAAGGTATCAGTCCCAAATGCAGAGGACCTCTATATCTTTTAAAGGGCCTTTCAAGTATTTCAAAGAGCTTTAAAAGATACACATCCTGCACCTTTTTCTTGGAAATACCCGAGGAACCTTCATGCCAAAATGACTTTCTGGATGCAAAGTCTTTAGAAACTGGAACAAGCAAGTTCTATCAGTGCTCTCCTGGAGGAAACCATGGGATACCATCATAATAAAAGAGCAGATGATACAAACAAGTATTTTTCCATCAAAACACATAACTATGACATGCAACTGCAGAAAATAAGATTTTTTAAAGGGACAGTTCAACATTTGACTTGTTTCCAAGCTGCTGCTGCAGGACAACTCTGACCCAACCAACCCATACAGCATGCATTTGCACATCAGTTTCTCTCATCAGGACCTTCATGGTGTCTCCACAAGAATCTCAGAACCATAGCTTACGTCAGAGTTGACTGCTGACAGACTACTTTTACAGTGAAAAGTCAGAGAATGTAACTGGAAACTAGGTCAAACTATCCCTTTTTCACTGAATCATCTTCTCAGGTGTGATCGCAGTAATTGTGTGTGACATGGCTGGAGAGGCTAAGGTCTTACCTTTAACTTCTTCTTCAATTGTGGCTTCGATCTGCTCCCTCACCAGAGTCACTGTGGAAGAAAGAGACACCAGTTTATCGTTTATCCATTAGCCTCTTCATGCCTTTGTCACATTTCTCACTGTTCAGGTTAAGACTGATGGAATTTATCCCTGATTTGGGATAAAACCAAAATGCCATAACCCAGTCTTTTTGTTATTACTACTGGACCACTTGTCAAACTTGCAAAAGCACAACATTTTACCAAGTATTTATGTCTAGTTTCAAGTTTCATTTAAAAATGGAGCAGTGACAAGACAATTTATTCCACAAAAATTACAAAATGTTGTGGCTCAAATATCAGTTCCTAAAAAACCAAAATGAGCTTTTCCAAAATCCAACAAAAGCAGCAGAAATCCCTGCTCACAATGAAGAAGCACAAACTGGTGTCCAGCAAGGAGGAAAGCAAGAAAGGGAAGTTTTTCAAAGGTAATCAGATTGGTAGAAAAAGAGAAATGAAGATCCCTTCCTACAGGAGTGACAGAGAGAGTAAATGTGTGAGTTTTACTGTGGAGAGACAAAGGAGGAGCATGAGTGAAGGGATTGTCCCTGAGAGGAAGAGTGAGGAAGGAGGAAGTGAAAACTCCAGGATTCAAACAAACACGTGGATTTGTGAAAGAAGACGTTTGACTTTGTGATGTTAGTCAGAGATGAAGAACGACTGAGGGATGTCCCGATTATCATGTTTTAGAGCTACACCAATCAGTCTGACAAAGATCAAATCAAAATTTTCTCTTAATTGGCTCTGATTGGTTGGTCAGATAATTCTACCAGTTTTCCTAATTAAATACATAGAAACTAAAATATCCCACCACTTTGGAAACCTGTCCATCCATATAAATTTAAAGGGGACCTATTATGCAAAATTCACATTTAGCTTCCATTTGTGTCTCAACTGCTTCTAAAAACAAACCAAGTGATTTAAATAAATAAATAAATAAATAAATAAATAAATAAATAAATAAATAAATAAATAAATAAATAAATAAATAAATCACCCAATAAGTTAATGTTTTTTGGTGTCTGGAAAATGATCCGTTTCAAAATCAACAGGCACTGCCCGTTACCTAGTAACCCCTGCGGAGCTCTACCTGTTACCTAGCAACCAAAGCTGACTCGTCACATTCTGATTGGTTGTACAGGAGGCTCTACTAATGCTTTTCAAAGATGTATGGTTGTATAATTGCACATCTGTTTGCAGCTATGTTAACATGCGAGTGCAAACAGTGAGTTGGAGGTCGTGGCCAGCAGCAGCTTACTTGGATTTAAAGTGACAAGACGTCCTAAAACACCTCATTCTGAAAAGAGTTGAAAATAGTCAAAACTGACCAGAATAAAATCCCATTTTCTAAGAATGATTTTGTGCAACAAAATGTAAAAAAAATGTTTTGTGTAGCCCAAGGCAGCATAATAGGTCACATTTAAGAAAAAAAAAAAATGTCCTTACTATTGCCCCTGTTTTCAGATTTTCAGGGAATTTGCATTGTAAGATAAAAAAAAGTGGAAAACTTATAACTAATCCGGTTCATATTGGAAGCTTTCATCTGGTTCGGGACATCCTCTCAGACTTTTATTTTTAGAAAGAGTGACTCAATCTTGAAGAAAGAAAAACGTGACGATTTAGGGGGGAGTCTGGCTACAAACCAACAGATCCAGGTGTTACCTTCTTCGTCTCTGTTAACGGTGAGGCTGGCCGAGCATGCAGCCTCCCCGGCGTTATTCACCGCCCTGCAGGTGTACTGCCCTGCATGCTCAGAGAAGGCGTCCACTATGATGAGTGTGGCGATGTTCGTCACCTCATCGAAGTGGAACACCACGTTCTTGGAAGGTTGGACCGGCTGCCGGTTGTGGAACCAGCTGATTTCCGGCTTCGGCAGGCCGGAAACACACGCATGAAAACGGGCCACCTCCCCGTGTGTCACTGCGCAGCTTGTGATTGGTTGGATGAAAATCGGCTTTTGGCCAACTGACGGTTTCTTTAGGCTGGAGATGTGCCACTGAGGCTCGGCAGAACTGCTCTCTGTTTGAATTTGCCCTGAAATGAAGCAGGTTCAGGGGTCGTTCTTTATTCAGTGAAAATTCCATCCCACTGATTGCTTTGCACCAAACCAAAGAAATGAAAGTCTTTTCAACAACAAACAGACTCCAGATCAGAATCCAAATCAGGATTCATAAAAAAGCTCCTTTAAACTGAACTCAATACAACCTCAGATTAATAACTTCTGACATTTTACACAGACATTGATACAAAACCAAAAAAAAAGTTCTGCCTTAGATATAAATCAAGCTTTTGTAGCTTTCATCATTATTTTGATGAAAAACTCACCGTCCAGTGTGAGAGTGGCAGAGCAGGACACTTTCCCGGCGTTGTTTGTGGCCACGCAGGTGTATTCCCCCTCATCCTCTGGGTAAACTCTGGAGATCTCCAGCTGACAGCTGTCGTCGAACTGAGACATCCTGAAGAAGTCGGACTGCTTGATCTCCTTCTCCTTGTGGAACCAGCTGATCTTCACATCTAAATCAGGAGAGTTTGTTTAGCTACAAACTAAATATTTAGTTTAGCAAGCTAAATACTTAGCTTAGAGCTAAATGTTTAGCTAATATGCAAATCACTTGCAGATAACCAAAAGCTAACTATCAAAGTAAACCTTATGAACCTTTAAATAAACTCCTAGTGACACTGACTGACTTCAGATTTTGCTCGTTACCTCTTCATCGTTGTTTCTTTTACACTCAATGAGCAGCTTTTCAACTTAAAACACAGAAAGAGCTCTTCTGTGTTTTAAGTTGAAATACAAAAGTTCACCAAAACATCTAATATCTTCCAAACAAAATATTAGATTGGATTTAACTAAATATTTAATTTGATAACAGTTTTTAGAATAGAGCTAATGGGACTAAATATTTAGCTTGCTAATTACATTTTTATTTGCAAACAAAATATCCAGCTTGCTAACTACATATTTAATTTGAGCTAGTTTGGAGGTAAATATTCAGCTTGCAAACAAGATATTTAGACTGGAACTAGATATTTAGCTTGCTTATTAAAGATTCTGTCTCTAACTCTTGCATTTAGTAAATAAATTAATAACAGGGTTAAAATACGACTTAAGAAAAATAAACCCTTCCTGTTATAACAGTCTAAACAACCCAAATTATTGATGTTAAATTCTGAAAGGACTTCTCACCGTCTCCACGGACTCTGCACTGGAAGTGAGCGGATTCTCCCTCTCTGGCTGAGGTGTTGGAGATGGGTGAGATGATGACGGGTGGAGCGATGGGGGCAGCAGAGTCTGGAGAGACCACCTCTGACACTACAGCACACAAACCTGCATCAGACTCCATCCGCCATGTCTCCATTCTGCTCTGCAAGCAGGACGTCGGGTTTTACCTTCCACATTGAGTGTGGCGGTGCTGGTGGCCGTGCCGTAGTCGTTCTTCGCCTCGCAGTTGTAGATGGCGGCGTCCTCGGGGAATACTTCGATCAGAAGCAGCGTGTGCTCGTTGCCGTCGTGAAGGAACTTGCACTTGAAGCCCGGCGACAGAGCCTGGGAGTTTTTGTACCAGGAGACCTGCGGTGGAGGAACGCCGCTCACCTGAACGGAGAAGCGAGCCGGCTTTCCTGCCTCGACCGACTGGGGCTCCATGTGACGGAGGATCTGAGGAGGCTCCGGGACTGGGAAGTAAAATGTTTGGTCCAGGGTTACTATTGTTTAGGGTTTTTCATTACAGTTTTCTTTTGTTTAGTTGTGACTTTCTGTTCTAATTCAGTAAGTTTTGATTGTTTTAAAGTATGTTTGCTAGTTTTATTACTTAGATATTGTTTAGTTTTTATTAGTTTATGGTAACAGTATTAGTTTCATCATACTTTGGTTAACTTTTAGGTGCAAAATGAACAAAAACGCAGTATTGTAATTATGTTTACATCAATTGGGTAATGAATGCTGAACAGAAAACATTTTCAAAAAATGTATTCAATTACTGTTGAACAACCAACTGACTGACATTTTCTCACAACGTTTGCTGTTGCCATTTTGTGCTGCCAGAAGGAGTATGGAGAACTGCAATTCCCCACAGCTGAAGTAAACTGACTGTGTGGGGATAAAAAATCTATTTGGCATCAGATCGAAAGTCAAATAAATAGATTCATAAACACAAAGAATATTATATCTATAAATTCAGTATGTTTTGGTTAGTTTTATAATCATTCAATATAGTTCGAGTTAGCTGTACATTTTCCCCGTTAAATAAAAACGGTAATAAATAATTACCGTTTTTTTATATCAGTTGACAAAAATGTTTTGTTAATTTCAATTTCTGTTATTTTGTTAGTTTTAGTTAACTACAATATAATTGGTTTAGTCAACAAAGACACATTTGGAGCAGATCTTGCAGTAATACCTCTCCATATTTCCAAGATACGGTTCTCATCTACATCAGTTCTGAACCTTTTTCTCGACTTACTGTTGACTCTGAGGCGCATGGCGCTCCTGTTCTTTCCAGCGATGAAAGTATATTCTCCAGCATCACTCCTGTAGGTCTCAGAGATGGTGAGGCGGTGCAGCTTCATGATGGCAACATAGCTGAACCTTTCCTCCACAGAGAACTGGATCTCCACGCCGTTCCTGAGCCAGCGTCCTTCGACGTCGTCCTCGTTCACCTCAAACTCGAAAGTTGCTCTGTGTTTCTCAAGAACCTGACGGAGGCACGGGAAGGATGAGATTACTGCAGAAATCTCATTGTTTCTGGTGTAAAGCTATGAAACTGTCTTACTGCAATGGTGGAGTAATAAACAGACAAAGCTGTATGCTGCTAAAAGCATTACATTAATATTTTTACTTTTACTTTGTAAAAATACTTATTGTATTGAAATAGTTGTTCCCCATAATATCACTAAGTGTGCCTATTTTATGTATATTCTCTTTAATGTATCAATGTTGCAGTGCCATTTTTGTTGTGTTTACTTTCGGTGACAGTTTACACTTTTACTTATGATTCTGTGCATCAGAATTTCAGGGATGACCTGAAACTGGTACCGATCACTTCCACTGATAGTTTAACTCCAGTTTGTCATCAACTCAATAGTTAAAAGTTAATGTATGTTTAACCTTGCAATGGTTGAATATTGAACAAAATTTTAAATTTTCAAAACCTCTACCTGTTGTTAACTTGAGTCATTGATTACTTTCAAACTAATAAACAAATAAAAAAAATGCAGTGTGGTGTGAATGTAATGTATAACGCAACACATTATTGGAATGTAGAAGAATGGAAAGTATAGAAACTTAATGTAAAATGTAGTGGAGTAAAAGTTGAAAGTACAAACCACGATTAAATCTACTTAAGTAAAATGCAGATACAAGAAGAAAGTAGTTAAATACAGTAAAAACGTACTTGTACTTCACTACATCCTACCATGATTTCGCGCTCTGCAGGTTCGGCGATGCGGACGTCACGTCCCTCTACGATCAGTTGGGCCTTGGAGACGCTGGATCCGGCCACGACTGAATACTCTCCAGCGTCTGACATACGAACCGTCTGGATCATCAGACGGTGGACAAACTTCTCGGCCGTCACTACATACCTGTGAACAAAGCAAGTAAAATGATTTCCAGCTGATTTTAACTGAGAATGTTTCTGTTTGAGATGAATTCAGAGGTTTCATCCAGGGATAAATTAATATCAATAGACAATACATCTTATAGAGTGTTCAATATGTAGAATATTCACTGAAACGCACAGACTTCTGGGGGATGTAGGCAGAAGAAAGACTTCAGCAGTCCAGCCTCTGACGGCTAGCTAAGCTAAGCAGGTGGCATCAACTAACTGACTCACTCTTTGGTTACCTACCAACAACACATTCCGTAACTTGTGGTTACCTAGCAACAACCTGGTTAGTAACTTGCTTAACAGCAGTTTAAGATTTCGTTACTGTTCCTCACAGCTTCTTAAAAATAAAAAACAACAGTGTGGAGTGAAAACTGTGGATAAAACAGAAAATGTCACACCACCAGTTTGGCTGAATTTCAGATATTTAAGACCAAAAACAAATTAATAACAATCGATACTGGCTGATATGAAACACTTAATAATGTGTTTTTCAGCTGTGTTGCCCAGCCCTAGTGTCATCATAGACAGACCTTTCCTCAGTTAAGTCCAGCTCCTGGCCGTCCTTCATCCACATCACCTGGATGTTCGGCTCAGAAACTTCACACTCAAACATCGCCTTTTTCTTCTCGGTTATCTTTATGTCTTTAATCTTCTTGGTGAACTCAATCACACGAGCTGAGAATAAGAAATGTAGATTTAAGGAACATCCTAAACTATATATATAAAAAAAAACAGTCCAATGAATGCTTTGTTACCTTCCACAAAGAGGTTAGCGGCGCTAGCAGCAGAGCCTGCTACAAACTGGTATTCTCCTCCGTCTCCAAAGTGAACATTTCGGATGGTGAGTGAATGTGTGAGCTGCCGGCTGCGGACTTGACATCTTTCTGATGATTTGACCTCTACGCCGTTCTTCAGCCATTTGTAGGTGATGCCCTCATAGTTTACAGTGACTTCAAAGGTGATGGTGTCTCTCTCCTGAGCGTTCAGGTCATTTAGCATGGAGGTGATCAGGACAGCTGGATGGACGAAACATACATTTTAAGATTGGGCCAAAATGTTGAGCTGCAAGAATGCTGGTTTCCACAAGTGTTTTTTTTTTTTTATATATTTTTTTCTTAATTATAATAGCAAAGACTATTATTATAGGTTTTTATTTTTTAAAAACAAACTAAACACATAATATTTTAATGAAATAAGCAAAAGCAGTCAGATTTATGCACGAGTGACGCATAAATCATTGCAGATTTAAAACAAAAGAGGGTTTTGCAGATTAAAGAAAAACAGCAAACCATATCCTACATTTTTCATCTTTTTCTGGATTTTTTGTGTATTTTTAGCAACAAGAACAGGAATTTGCTGACTCTTACTTTATCTTTCTAAGTTTATTAGATGGGCATGCAAATGTCTGTGATTTAAGAAAAGCCACTGGATGTTTTTGATCCGTATTACTAATAAATTAAAAATAAAAATCAGGGTGAATACTTTGTGTTGCCGTACTTTTGACACCCCTGATTTAGAGAGAAAAAACCCAACAATGGCTGTGGCTAGACCTGTCACAATAAGCCTTCTCACAGAGCAATAAACTTTAAATTCTAATGAACATTTAACACTGGGACTAAATAAACAAAACAATTATGAAGTCTCTGTAAACAACGTTTTTCTTTCAATAAGGTCTAGACCAAGGCACCAGACTTTAATCATCCAGTTTTTGGTAGTAAGAGAAAAGAGAAAAACATCATGCAAAGGAAATTATTGAGCTCGTCTGAATTTATCATAAATTGATTGATTGCAATAGGTCTAGCAGGGGCTAAATCAGGCTTTGTGGTCTTACGGTTGACGGTGAGCGTCGCTGACACTCTGTCGTTCCCGCAGATGAAGGTGTACTCCGCAGAGTCGTCCCTGCTGGTGTTCATGATCATCAGCTGGTGGAGTTTCCCCTGAACCACGATCCTGAACTTCTCACTCATCTCAATCTCCACGCCGTCTTTGAGCCAGGTGGACGGCACGTTGAAGTGAGAAACTTCGCACTCAAACGTGGCCACCTGGGTCTCAGGGACCTCCACACTCTTCATTGGTTTGGTGACACAAAGAGCTGCAGGCGAGAAATTGTAAAACAATGAAAAAAAAGAGACAAATAATTTAACAGAAACAGCTTTTCTGAGAGATTTGGCTCTCGGAGGAGCTGTTTATTCTGGCAGCTCTGTTTCTCTGCAGCCATCAACAAGAAAACACGGTTAATGAAAGAATACTTCTCTGGCCGTTTGGAAAAGTATTCTTTCCTAATATCCCACTTAGTTGCGGGGTACCACAAGGCTCCTCCTTTGGTCCCATTCTTGTTAAACTTGCTCCCTTTCTGGTGCATTTTAAAGCACAAAGTACTGCTTTTCACCATTTTCTGATCTGCTTATTCCAACAAACAGCATCATGTTTATATTAAAGCCTTGTAAGTCATCTTAGGGATGTGTAATCACAGAGACTCTAATAAAAGATTTTAAGAGTTCGATGAACCCATTAAGTTGAGGTCAGATATATATGGAAACACTGAATTTTCACACTGCTCTTAAAACGGAAATAAGATTAGATTTGTTTATGACATGACTTTGTGACAGTAACACAAACCTACATCACATCTATATTTACTATAATTAGTCAATCGTGACTTGTCACTTGTTCAAAACCCAGCGGCCCGCTTTCTGAGGGCGGGGCACAAGTAGTGAGATTGTACCACACCTGTGCTGGCTTTTTCTTTTTTCCAAAGTTCTGCAGTCTAATTTAAGTGTAGATTTTTTTTCTCGGGTCTTTGAGGGCTGTTATCAGCTTACTTGTGTGAAATTTCACACCTTCACACTTCAGCCAGAGCACCAAGGTTCACAGGCCAACTGGGCTTCTGGATATTTTTGGACCCAGGCTCAAAAACAGATGTGGCAAAACCATTTTAGGTATAGTTCAGAATTAGCATGCCTTTTGATCTAGGATCATTAGGATTATTTTGGACTTCTAGCTAAATAGTTTTGTAACGTTTGATCATTTTTTATTGTTTTAAATAGCTTAGGTGATTGCTGAGTTTCGAATTACTGACAGTTTTAGCCAGCCGAGACTTTTTGATGGAGTTTTAAAAACACCTTAACTCAAATTGAGTTTAATATTTCTTAAATACACACTTGCTAACAAAAAACAGTTAGGCACCCAGAGGGAATGGTGTGATTTGGATGTAAAATGGTCCACATGCAGACCAATGTGAATGCTTGACCAGGAATCTAGAAGGTGGCATTTTGAGTTTTATCAGGCAGCTACCAAGCATGCGGCAGTCAGTCAAAGCAGTGAGTGAAAGTCAGCCGACACAAAGGATGCCTTGTAGATATTTTAGACAGCATTACCAGTGGCCCAACGTTGGAGCCAATGAGTATATGAGGGTACCCACACATGTTGTAAAGCTTTGGAAAGACCGCACCAAGAGGGGATCCTTGTTTTGTCCACCAAGTACTGCAGAACCCAAAGACATCTGTACCAAACTCAGGTACCGAACTCTTTACAAACACCCGAAGTAGTTTCAAAGATGGATGTCAGCCAAAATACCCATTTCCCATTCCATATGTGGCTGACATTAACACCAACGCAGAGAGGACTGTGTTTGGAGTGGTGCCGTAACTGGGAGGTGTGGTATCGTAATCTCAGTTCAGATCACCAAGGATGATCATTGTGTGGTGGCAGCAAGGGTGGAGGACCAATCCTGCCAATGAGACGCACTAGTGGTACTCCAGGCATCTTGGTGTTATGGTGTGGAGAGCCACAGGAATCCAGCTTCGGGTTAAATCAAGTGGGAATCGGAAGGACTTGAGGGACATCCTGTATTTGAAAGGTCGTCTTGAAGAGGAGACAAACGTTTCTGAAAATGTTCTGTATCAAATCACTGTCTGTTTCCAGACAATTTCATTTGCACCACTCCATCTGGGGGCTTAACTTCTTTTTTTACACAAGTGTATTTACGTTTTTAAATCATTGAATAATTAAAAAAAACTATGTAATGCCTAAGTAGTTTTTTTACAAAACACAAACAAAAACAGACGTAATTTTAAAGGAGAAAAGAAAAAAAACTTGTAGAGTAAATGTAGTTTATATCACTTTCTTTATTGAAAGTTTTTCCTTCTTAATAATTCATGACAGGGTGTTCAGTGTTGCGTACCCTCTACAGTAAGCATGGCGCTGCAGTGCAGGTGTCCGATCACGGCCGTGTACTCTCCTGCGTTGCTGCTGTCGACGTTCTGCAGGATCAGTTTGTGAGCTTTCCTCTCCGACAGAATCTTGCATTTCTCGCTTGCCTTCAGCTCGACGCCTTTGAACGTCCACCTGACGGGGACGTTGTCGTGCGACAGGCTCAACTCAAAGGAGGCGGTGCCGTCCAACAGGGATTTCACGTCTTTAATCTTCTTGACAATCTTGATTGCTGCAAAGATCAAAGACAGAAACAGTCATTAAGCAGAGAAACTTGTTAGAATGGTGCTGTGCGTAGTAGGGATGCAAACAATTAATCGACGTATGATTAATTCTCGATTAATGGTTTATTAGATTAAAATTTGTTCCAACTGATTAACTAACAACGTCCGATTAGACCTTATTTTAGTGTTGTACTTTGGCCTGCGTCCAGAGGAGGGCGCCACTGGTCATCCGTAAGCAGAGCTAGTTGATACAGAAACAAAGACGGCGGGGCCATACGTATTACGAAGTATTAGGTATTAGGTAATTTAAAAAATAGAATCACGAGAATAAACTCAGTATTGTGAGAATAAAATTGTAGGAGAATAAAGTTAAAACAATACAAGAGGTTGAAGTATGAGAAAACTCAAAATATTACAACTTTATGACTTTATGCTTGTAATACTATGACTTTAATCTTATAATACTACAACTTTTCTCTCAAAATATTACGACTTCATACCTGAAATATAACAACTTTATTCTTGAAATATTATGACTTTATTTGTATATTATGACTTTGTTCTTGGATTATTTTGAATTTATTCTCATACAACTTTATCCTCATAATAGCATTATTATTATATTATAGTTTTTATTGTATGGCCCTAATGTTCCGTCATACATACCAGAACGAGAAAGAGAAATGGTCCAAACAAAGTCCATTATGAGATGCAATATGAACTTTATATTTCAAAACAGAACAGGATAACATTCGACAACCTCCGTCATCTTTTATTTTTCTAAAGAGCAACTTAAGAGGTTCCTGTTTTGTTATATTTTATAAATATGTTTAACAATTTGAAAATGGCTAAACCACAATTTTCTATTTATTCAGTCTGTATTTAATGTAACTGAGAAAACAATACTAAAATTAAAGTGTGCTTTTTAAAAAAAAAAATCAGCATACAAAGAATTTTGCACTTCATGTTATGGAAAAAAGGTCAGCCATTTTCATACAAGAGAAAACTCTGGCTTTTAAAAAAATATCCGCTTACCAATTAATTGTTAGTCGATCAATAAAATAAATAAACTTTAGATGAACTCATTAATCGATAACTTGCATCCCTGTGTGTAGTGATGAGTGATGCTGATACTCACTCTCTACATTGAGTCTGGCGGTGGCGGACAGTTTCCCCAGCTTGAAGGAATAAACCGTCTCGTCTTGTGTGTTGCAGTCCTTCACCTTCAGAGTCTGGATCGTTCCTTCTGAGATAATCTCAAACTTGTCGCTGTTCTGCAGTTCGACTCCGTTCCTGATCCACTGGGCTCCTTTCACGTCCGGGTGGGTGAGTTCCAGTGAGAACATGGCCTCCTGGGTCTCTGTGACTGTCTGGTTTCTCAAAGTCTTCTTGATCTTCACAGCTGCAGATGAAAACAAGACAAGAGCACCACATTTAATCATTACTCACCCTTTACTGTTGGGTCAGTTGGCTTCTGAATCATTTAGAAAACTGGCACTCACCTTCCACCTTGAGGTTTGCGCTGGTTTTGGAGTTGGCCACCTGGTAGGTGTACTCTCCGACATCCTGTGGCCTGGTGATGACGATGACGAGGCGTCTGACGGACCCGTTCACCTCGCTCACAACGTTCTCGTTGAAGTTCACGAGCTGACCGTCCTTTAGCCACTTGCCTTCAGCTTCAGCGTTGGCGATTTCGCACTCAAACTCAGAGGTCTGAGACTCGGCCACCGTCACATCCTGCAGAGGCCGTGTGATGGCGCCACCTGGTGGTTGCATAAGTGAACAGTTGTGACTGTGGGGCATAGCCTCAATTCCAACATCTGTAAAGAGTTTTAGTCTTTGTGTTCAGTTACAGTGGAAAGCAGATATTTACATGTAGGGAGGGCGATATGTACGGAACGGGATTAGGGTTAGGGTTTTCTCATAATTCTGACTTTGGATCAGAAAATTAAAGTGAGAATTCTGAGAAATAAAGTCAGAAATCTGAGAAAAAAGTCAGATTTTTTTTTCAGTGGCCCTAACCTTTTTCTATATGACACAACTTGACTAAACTTGTCCAGTTTTAAGTCAGCTAAGATTGCCAAAATTAATTTGTTTGTTCAGTGTCAGAACAAAGATGTTGATGATGCCAAACCGGTGCAACGTTCATCTGCTCAAACTATTATTTACAACACCATGGTATGTTCAGCCAACTTGTTAGGGAGGAAACTGATTCGCTGTGAAATGTGTGAAATATGAACTTCACACCAAAAGCAAAACATTTTGAAGATGCTGGTCGAAGATGTTAAGTTTCAATGTAAAAAATTAAACAAAGCTGATAAAAAGGCACTAGCTGAAAAGTCACTCAGAGAAGAAGAAGCCATTACTCCCAATGGAACATAAAAAGCTGGAAAGACCTTGATTTTTTAATATACCTTCTGTGATTTAAATAAACTAACAAGTGTTTGATCATGGTGTCACATTTGGTAGAAAAAGAGGGAAGTATGGAAGCCTTAATCTATCCCGAATTTTACTATGGGGGCGGCAGTATCTTGCTGTGGCGGTGTTTCGCTGCAGGATGGACTGGTGCGCTCCATAAAATAGATGGCGACATGACAAAAGGACATCATGTGGAAATATTGAAGCAATATCTCAGAACATCAGGCTGGAAATTAAAGCTGAGGTGCAAATTGAACCAAACATGCAGCCAAATTAGTCAATTATTGTGAAATGGCCATGATGTTGGTGCCAAACAAAATTTCTTCCAGTGCTAATAAACGTGTAAACAAGCCTACAAACCTGACTCAGTTATGGCAGTTCTAGTAGAAAGAATTGGCTGAAATTCCAACAAAATATGGCGAGAATATTTACGGACCAAACAGGTTCAACCCAAATCATATAGTGAAAAAGATAATTTCATGAAAGATTTGTAGGGAATTTTTTAGCTAGTAGAGGTAGTTTTGGTAATCCCAGTTTACCTAAATAAGGAAAGGTTAAGTCACACAGTGGATGTAAATATCTGGTTCCAGCTGTAAATAAGTTACACTCTTTGATTTAACCCTTTAGTATCTGAGACCTACCAGAGACAGTGAGCTGAGCGCTGGATGTCTTCTCCCCAGCGTGGAACATGTACTGGCCCTCTTCATCTTTCATGGTGTCTAACACAATCAGGGAGTGAGCCGTTCCCTTGGACTCCATCTTGTATTTGGGTCCAGCCTTGAGCTGCTGGTTCCTGAAGGTCCAGAGTGGGTCGATTCCAGGATGTGAAACCTCAACGTTGAAGGTAACGTTCTGGGACTCTGAGCACACTCTGTCCTCCATGTGCTTCACAATGTGGACCTCTGTGAGAACAACACTGGTAAGACATGGGACTGGAAGCTGAAAACATGAATGATGAGAAAATCTAATCTCGCTCACGTTCAACAGTCAGGTTGCAGCTGGTTTCGACCTTGCCGACCACCAGTTTGTAACGTCCTTCGTCTGAAGCAAAGGTCCTGGTGAAGGCAAGTCGCTGCTTGGTGCCCTTTGCCACAGCCTGGACTCGGTCACCTGGGATCAGCAGCTTGTCGTTGTGGTACCATTTGATAGAGCTGATGTCCTGAGCTGAGATCTTGGACTCAAGGACAGCTTTTGTGCCTTCGATGGACGACACGTCCTTCAGTGGCACCACTATGTCGATAGCTTGAAAGATAGAAGAACATTTAAAAGTAAGGATTATCAAGACCGAGGTGGAGTGATACTAAGGATGCAAGTTATCGATTAACGAGTTAATCTAAAGTTGACTGTACTTATCAACTGACCAATGATTAATTGATCAGCTGGTATTTTCCTTCATGCTGCAATTGTTCTGCATTATCACATCATCCTCGCCTTCGTAGCACATCAGTAATTTTTGAAGTTGAAGTTTCTCCACCGTGCAGTTCGGCTAAATAAGTGCTAATAAGATAAAACTTAAGGAGCTTGTTGAGTAATATTTCAAAATAGAACTGCATAAAAGGTATTTTCCATTCAGATGGAGCCAATCTGTTTCTCTTTTAATATGGCGCCGCCATCTTGTATCAACTGGCTCCACTTACGGATGACCAGTGGCGCCCTCTGCTGGATGGCAGCCAAACAACACCTAAAGAAGCTCTAGGCGGAATTATTAGTTGATCAGTTGGAACTAATTTAAATCTAATAAACCATTAATTAATTGTTTGCATCCCTAAGTGATATGTTTATTTTCATATGGAAACACTTACTTTGCACATTGAGTTTGCCTGAGGTGGAGATTTCATGAGCTGGAACTACAAATGAGTAGGACGCAGCGTCTTCTCTGCTGACGTTCTCCACCAGCAGTTTGTGAACCTGTTTGTCGATGACGATGTGGACGCGGTCTGAGGCAGAGATTGCCTGGCCGTTTTTCAGCCAGGTACCTTCCACATTCTCCTGGGAGAACCGGACCTCCAGCTGAGCAATGTCACCCTCACAGATGGTAAGGTCAGTCAGCGGCTGCATTAGAGTCACGGGTCGCACTGGAGAGAAACAAAACGCACATATGTTCATTAATGACTAGTCAAGTCAAATTAAGTTTGTTTGTATTGCATATTTCAGCAACAAAGCAGTTCAAAGTGCTTTATATCATAAAAATATCCATCAATTATGAAACAAGAAATAAAAATTATGCTATTATTGGAGAAAATGTCAGTTAATATTAATCAAAGGCAAGTCTAAACAGTGTTTTGCTGCTTTTTGGATGTTTTCTAAAACGACTAATCAAACATCTACATATTTTAAGCTAACAGGGGAATTTTGTGGCAACAAAAATGTCTAAAAAAAACTTACATTTCATTTTCAGTGAGGCGCTGGTCCTCAGATCTCCACAAACAAAGGTGTACATCCCCTGGTCGTCCTTCCTGACGTCCTTGACAGCCAGGGTGTGCCGTCCTCGGCGGGAAGATATGACGTATTTACTGCTGGGAGAGAGCTCCTTTTCGCCAAAGAACCATTTTCCCTCAGCATCTTCACGAGAAACCTCAACCTCAAACTCTCCAGCGTAGCTCTCTGGTACTTCAATGTTTTCCAAATGTTTGTTGAGCTCCAGGGCAGCACCTGAGGCACACAGGAACGTCAAGAACCTTGAGCTGCTTTCCACAAAATAAGACTATATAAACAGGAATTCAGAGTACAAACCTTCGACATGGAGCCTTGCATTAGTCCTGATGTTCTCGTCATCTATGACCATACATGAGTATTCTGCGTCGTCACTCATTTCAATCACCAGCACAGACAGGAAGTGGACCTTTCTGTCAGAGTGCATCCTGTATTTGTCTCCTGAGAAAATCTCAACATTATTCTTCAGCCATTTGACCTTGACGAATGGTTCGTTGGTTTCACATTCAAAGGTCACCATGGTGTCCTTCTCATTTGCACTGGCATCAGCCAGGTTTTGGGTAAAACTAATGGCTGCCTTGGCTGCATAAGAAATACAAAATTAAAATTTGACATCAAGAGATGCATACGAAAGAGGATTAGGATCACTGAAAAAAAAGTAATTTTGACTTTTGATCTCAGAAGATTAGTCAGAATTCTGACAAAAAAACAAATAATTTTGAGATTAAAGTCAGAATTCAGAGAAAAAAGTCAAAATTATTTTTCAGTGGCCTTAATCCTCAATCATAGAGAAAGTAAAAGTAAATTACAGATGAAACTTTGTGTTTGACTTTACCTTGCACAAGAAGGAAGGCATGGCTTGACGACTCTCCAGCAACGTTGATGGCCTTGACCATAATGCTAGCAGAGTCCTCTACTGTGACATCTCTAATCACCAGTTCACACACATGGTCCTCAGGCCAGTACCAGTAAATACGCTCAGATTTTTCCAGAAGAATGCCATTCTTGAACCACTGGCACTCAGGTTCTGGTCTACCGACAACTCTGACTCTGAAACGAACCTCGTCATTTGGAGAAACAGTCTTGCTTCCAATCCGTTCGAGGATGTGTGGGGCTTCCATGCTGGGTGACAGCTGGATCCTCTCTGGTTTGATTGTGGGGATGGTGATTTTGCCTTGTTCTTCCATCTTCCTCCTTTCAGCTTCTTCCATCTCCTTCATATGATGAAGTAGCTCGTCTTTAGTCTTTTTTAGTAGGTCTTCATAGGAGTCATCCCTCTTGCGAGATTTGAATTCTACTGCAGAGATAGATTCATAGAAGCCCTCCTCTGTTCTGCGCTTGAACTTGCTCTTCAGCTCCTCGGACTCCTCAGAGGTTTTCTCATGAACGATTCTCTGCGCCTTACGCAGCTTAACTACTTCCCTGTCCTGTGGGACCTCACCAGGTCTGTCCACCTTGACGATGTCAAATCCAATTTTGCCAGATTCATGTGGGAACTCAGCAGCTTTGGGCTCCGGAGCACGACGCAGCACTGCTCTAAAGTCCTCTCTCTGTTGGATCTCCAGCTTCACAGTGTGTTCAGTTGTGCCTAAAGGATTGTCTGCAACCACTCTGACTTCGCCGGAGTCGTATGACTTGATGTCAACAATCTCCAGGTAGTAAATACCATCGTAACGAAGTCTGTATCTCTTGCTTTTGCGGATGAGTTGTCCATTGAGGTACCAATTAACCTTTGGAGCAGGGTAGCCGGTCACTCTGCAGCGGAACCGAGCGATGTCTCCTTCCAGCACCCTGGCTGGCTCCGGAAGCAGGACAATTTCAGGTTTTGTCTTTTCGGTTTCATCATCAAGGCTGACTCCTGTAGGTCCTCCCTCATGAGCAATGCGCTCAATCTCATCCATTCGATATGCTCCCTTCCTGCCTTCAGGAAGCTGAGATTCCTCAACAAGGCCCTTCTCGTCCTTGACGATCAGGGTAGCCGAGGTCTGGTCGACTCCAAACTTGTTGGTTGCTCTGCAGGTGATCACACCACTGTCTCTTGCATAAGCAACCTCATAGTCCAGGCTGCAGTAGCCAAACTCATTGACCATACGCAGCCTGTTGGCAGCAGCCAGAGGCTTGCCGTCATGCAGCCAATCCACCACCATGGTGGGGTCTCCAATCGGAGTCAGCCTGCACTCAAAGTGGGCCGGACCAAAGCGTTTCATTCGGACAGATGTGAGCTTCTTCTTAAACAATGGTTTCTGCTGCTTCTCTTTGTCATAAAGGTCGCCTTCCTCCCACTGCTCTTGGCCATAACGGAGGTGAAGAGGCTCCAGCTCTGGAGCGGCAATCTCTTTGGCTTTGTAGGTTCCTTTGGGAATAATGAGCTTCCTCTCAGCTTGCGGGGCAGAGTGATCTACCTCCACATTGACTCTGCAGCGGGTGGTGTCTCTGCCAGCCTTGTTGATGGCTGTGGCGGTGTACCAGGCGCTGTCTGGTCCGCCTGCTGAGGGGATTTGGAATTTGGCCTCTCCTTTGGTTCCTTCAATCCTAGAAAAAGCAAGCAATCAAGTGAATCAAAGCACAAATAAATTGCTTTACAGAGACAGAGAACAAAACAGTAGAGATACCTGATGTGTGGGTGCTTTGATGGAGTAATGATGTCGCTGTTTTTCAGCCAAACAATATCTGGCAGGGGGTTTCCGATGGCTTTAACAGCCAGTTCCACCAATGTGCCCTGCTTCACGGTGATGTTCTTCAGTTTTTCAACAAACTGAGGTCTGGATACGCTTTCTCTGGCTGCGGATCCCAGAACAAGGCAGAAGTTAATAATGAGACACTTTTAAGGTTTCTGTAGAAGTAGCACTCTGTAATCCAAGTTTTACCTTCAACAGAGAGATTAACGGCAACAGATGTTCGTCCAGCTCGGTTCTGAGCAACGACGGTCCATTCTCCAGAGTCTTTTGGCACAGCTGGGACAATGATCAGGGACTGAGTGCCGTCTTCCTTAATCACTATCTTGTGAGTGAAGTCATTGATAATTTGTTGTCCTGAAAGGGAGGATAAGACTGTATTTTTAAAGGCTGAAGGACCAAATAAAGAGTCACTAAACATATTTAACACTGCTTCTCTTACCATTGTGGAACCAGTAGGTTTCAGGCATTGGCCTGCCTACAACCTTTAAGTCAAATCTGGCAGTTTGTCCCTCTGCGCATTTGATAGAGGAGGGCTTCATGACAAACACGGGTTTGTAAAGTCTTTCCAGGTGAATTTCATCCGTTTCTTCTAGGCGGCGAGCTGGGGAACGTCCAGGTGAACGTCCAGGTGAACGGCCAGGAGAACGGCTCAGAGAGCGAGGAGATGCGGATCTAAAAGGGGGAAGCAGTGTGTCACCAGTTAGCAGGCGAGACTTCAGATGCAGCATTCAGAGCAGCAGAGACATTGCATTTTCAGGTTTTGGTGTTTCTTTGCAGCCTCTGAAGAGGCAAAACTTCCCCCCTGGTTTGTAGGTCATAGTTCATTTTGTCAATTCATCTCCATTTTCATAATTTCTCAGCATTAACATTTGTTCAGCACTGACCTGATCCTCTGCATTGATGGCTGAGGTGTGTAACTGGGAGGGGTTACACCTCCAGAAGGCTCCACGTAGAGCTTCCCTGAGCTGATGGCATTTCCCTTCATGTTGGAGGCGAAGGCGGTGTACACGCCTTCATCCTCTGGTTGAACCACAGACAGCCGGAGGCTGGCTCGTCCATCCTGAAGGACCTCCATCTGGTACCGGCCACCGGGCCGGATGCGCTGGCCGTCTTTGTACCAAACAATCTGCAGAAGGTTTTATGAATCGCTGTAAGTGACGTGTCAAACTCAAGGCCTGTCATAGCTTTTTATGTGGCCCTCTAGACTAGAGACAGATACATAAAAAGAACCTTCAAAATAACAGTTGTGTGCTTATATATTATTTTATCAATATGACCAAAGCAATTATATATGTATACTGCCAAATTACATCAATAAGTCTCTCAAGTTTTTTGCGATTCTGAACTAATGGAGTGAATAACTGTGAATTTATTGCACATTTTCTGCAAAAATAGTCAAAAACATTGTGTTTAAGTGACTGACTCCAACCTGCAGGGGGCAGTATTTCTTACTTCTACAACACTGCTGCCTTAATCTTACTTGGTGTCAAGTTAATAGTCTGTGATTGATGTGGCGAGTGACAAAAAGTCACAATTACCATGATGCATAAGTGCAAATATTGCAAAAATATTTCTAAATTAGAACAACAAAACTTAATTTTGATTGCAAAAAAATCACAAAAACAATCATGAAATCCTGGAGGGACTGATCAAAGTCAAAAGAGGTTCAATATTATTTAAATTTAGGAACTCAGCGAATGCAGAGACTGTCTTATTTTAACAGTTCACTAATGAGTTTTATGAATTCATACATAATACACGGGTTTCCAGCAGATTATTAAAGGTCATAAATACAAAACTCTGATAAATGGTACCACATAAACTTCATCATACTTCACAGAAATGTTCAGATTTGATTGGACTAATTTCCATATTGCAGAGATGAGTTTGACTATATATAAATGTATTTTTCTGCACCTTAGGCAGCGGCGTGCCAGACATCCTGCAGTGGAAAGTGACGCCCATTCCCTCCATGATCCGGTAGTTTTTCACTGGCGTCTCGAAGGCCGGCTGCAGCGCCTCTTCTTCTGCGACAGTCACCATCAGCTCTCCGTCCTCAGTCACCAACTCTCTGTAGGTGATCCTCAAGATACGGATCTCAATCTCCTGGATGATCCTCTCCTCAAAGGCTGAAATCATGAACTCCTGAAAGAAAAAGAGCAGAACATTAAACCTGAGGTAAATTTGCTGAAAGAACAATTCACTCCAAGAACTGTACAAAAAATATATAAACTACTGCAAAGTCACTGATCTGCAGAAGACGATTACCGTTTCTGAGACGAAGCTCATGGGGGTCGTCACCCTCCTTTGTTCAAACTCGTACTGAGCTACGACCGGCTGAGGCTCCTGGACCACGGTCGTCGTCACTTCGGTTTTATATGTCACATCTTGTTGCTTCATGTAGGCTTCATATTGTTCTGCAAGCGGAAAGAAAGTAAGAGACTGGACTGCAAAAACACAAAATCTTACCAAACATTTCTGTCTAGTTTCTTCTGCAAATATCTAGATACACTTGAAATAAAACAAAACTAACTCAAAATAACTTTTCAGCAAGATTTATTGTTTTAAATCAATAATTTTTTTGAATATTGATTAAGAAAAGTACTAGTTCCATTAATAGATTATTTTAATTATAACAGGGAAAAAATTTATTTCTATAAGTGAAGTAATCTGCCAGTGGAGCTACTTTTTCAACTGCAATGAAATATTTGCAATAAGAAAGCAGTCAAAAAGATTTAATATTTGTCGTTGTTCAGTGAGGTCCAAAGCAGAAATAAAGACAAAAAAACAGAAAATGCTGATACCTTCATCCAGCAGGATGGCAGTGGCTGACGCTTCCCCGAGAGGATTCTTAGCAAAGACGGAGTATTCTCCTGCATCATCAGCGAAGGTCATTGAGATCTCCAGTCGGCATTCTCCAGTCTCCTTTTTGTAGGCAACTTTATATCTGAAAGGAAGAAAAAAGTCAGTTATCTTCTCTGATTCAGGGGTCGAGGATAGGAGTGGGTGATGTGGAATTATAATTTTATTGTGACATGTTGTGGTGCTGTTGAAATAATGGTAAAAATGACGATAAACTATATATTCCTTCATTTGTATAGTTAAGTGTTTGTAAGTGCATTAACACCACAAACACAAATTCTGCTCTTGAAAAAAACATTCCCCTTTGAAACAGGCTTCTTCATTATGCAATATTCACATTTTGCACTTATTTGTACTTCTATTGGGTCTCTACTGCTTCTAAAAACAGTCCAGGTGATTTAAATAAAACATCCAGCAGGTGTTTAGCATTAAATTAATGTTTCTTAGTGTTTGGAAAATGAGCCGTTAAAAAAAAAGTCACAAATCAGCTAGCACTGCCCCTCAGCTAGCAAGCCCAGCGAAGCTCACCCCGTTACCTAGCAACCCCGTGGGTCGTACCTGTATCCAGTGGTGAGCGGAACGCCACTCTTCTTCCAAATGATGTGAGGTCTTGGGTTTCCTGCAATCTGACACTCAAACACAACACTTCCTCCCTCCACCAGCTTCTGGGGAGTGGGCTTCTTAATAAAGAAGGGGGCACCAGTTTCTCCTGTGCTGATCTCCGTCTGCTCCCTCATCTCGACAGCAATGCTGCGGAGAAGCAACATCTGGATTTACATTCAGCTCAGAAACTTCAGTGTAATAGGGTTGGTGTTTAAAACTCACGTTTTGGCTTGTGTGAGCCCAGTTTCTGTGACAGTCACCATCTCCTCTCTGCTCTCTATTTCCTCTGAAACTGCAACATAATCAGAGGACACCAGATTAGGCTGGTTTTTTGTACAGTTTAATCTTATTTTCTCTGTGGTGTATTACAAAGTCATGAACAGAGTTTGCGTTCCAGACAGCCATTTGTCTCTTTCACGGCTTTAACGTGTTTTACCCCAAATCTGACCCTTTTCTGTTGTTAGTTTGCATGTTTTTGTCAGTAATCAGCCTGTAGAAATTAAAGCAAAGACAACCACCAGTTAGGCAGTATGTCAGATATTTAACAATAAACTTATCAATAATTATCAACATCAACTGATACAAAAAAAAAGCTTATATCATGAACCGTTTTTTAGGCATATCATCCAGTCCCAGTTTGTGACTCAGACAAATCCCACAATCCTTCTTTCTACTTCCCATTCAGGCACTACTTTCTGTTGGTCTACCACATAAAGTCCTTATAAAATACTTTGTCTTTGTGGCTGAAAAGTGACACAATGTCAGAGTTGTGCATGAACAAGTTGTTGATTTTCGAGTGTCCATCTGTTACCTTTAACGAGCAGGTAGCAGGAGGTGCTGATGGTTCCGGCCTCGTTCGTGGCGGTGCAGGTGAAGCGACCGCTGTCTTCGGCAAACGCCTCGCGGATCATCATCCGGGCGACGCCGTTCTCATAGCTGATCTGGAAGTCGATTGAACTCTCGATTTTGTAGTCCTCTCTGAACCACATGATGATGGGGGCCGGCTGACCGCTGATCTGACACTCCAGGGTCACCGACTCGCCCTCTGTCACCGTCAGGTTCTTCAGGCCCTGAAACAAACCACAGAAATGGTCAGAGACCTGAACAAAAGACTCAGTTCTTAGAAATTATTTTTTGATCCTAATCAATTGTTTTCAAGACTTTCTGAAGATCTTTCAAAATTTACAGATTTTAACCAGGTGAAGCCAAAACTGTCACTAGATGAGTTTTGGGTAGAACATATTTACAGATAGGTTTTATTGTACAGTTTTTGCTTAATTAGTGCCTTGATTGTGTTGTTCTTTAAGCATCTGGTCTTTTTTGAGTCTTTTTACTCCAGTTAATAATTTATCGGTTGCTAAATTAGTTGAGGATTTTTTCAATAATTGCTTATTCACAATGAATCATAGTTAATCGCTTTAGCCCTATTTGAAAAGGATAGAAAGAGAAAGTGTAGGGAAAAGTTACTTACTGCCAGGATAGTGGGAGGGACTGCAGGTTCCTGGGCTCTCATTGGCACAGCGACCGCCTCCTACAAAGACAAAACAAGAGTTAGAGAGACAAACAAGATGTGTTTTATGGTCTGCAGGGTTCTGAGAGGATGGAACAGGAAGTTGGTTAGCATAGATAAAAAAGATGAGGGTCTGCAGATGAAGACAGAAGGAGACAAGAGGAGGAGTCTTCAAGAAGGGTGACGTGTGATTGGCTGCAGGGAGGGACTGAGGTCAGAGTTAAAAAAGAAGAGGACAGTGGTAAAGGACCAACCTGAGGCTCCCAGTCCTCAAACTCCTCCTCACTCACTGCATAAGCCCCGCCCTCAAACTGCCTCTGATATCTGATGTCCTTAAACGGTGGTGGGAGGGGCTCCAGCGTCACTCTGGCCTCCACCACCGACCTGCGAGAAGGACTAGGAGACTTGACGGGTTTGATGATCTTCCTGGTGGCAGAGGGGGAGGCCAGCTCTTTGTGCAGAGCAGCGATGGCTGAGCCGGTGATGGACACCTGAACCGGCCAATCAGAGCAGGTTAAACACCACGATCAGGAACAAACAGGAAGTCCACGATTAGTGAGGGAAGACGGTGATGGAGACGCTGAGTGAAGGTCAGAAAGGAGGCGGCAGGCAGCCGGGAAAAAATAAAACCAACTACTGTGCCGTGCAAAAGTATTTACACCCCTTAAATATTTTTATCTCATTGCCAGTGTTTCTTGAGATCATATGTTACAGACTAAGATAAAAAAGTGTAGAATTGAGTAAAATAACAAAGAAAAGTGTTTATTTAATTTCTACTCTGGAATCACTAAAGAAAACAGTGATTGTTGATCTGCTGAGATAAATCCAGATATCTGAAGGAAAAACTGAAAAAACAATTTCTCACAACGGCTCTATTAAAAAGCATGGTGGTGGCAGCATTGCACTGTGGGGATGTTTTCCTTCAGCATTTACAGATAAGCTGGTTTTGATGGGAAGACGGATGGAGCTAACTACAAGGAGGGAAACCTGTTGGAGGCTGCAAAAGAAACCCTCAGCATCAAAACATATCTATGTATTATAATGTCCTAGTCAAAGTCCAAATTTAAAGTTCGTTGAGAATCTGTGGCAATATTTGAAAATTAATTGAAATAAATGCGCTCTTTCCAATCTAGTTTGTAGTTGTACCAGCAGAAAGAAGGCAGTTCTGGCATCAATTCTCATCAATTCTCCGTTCAATTCACAATTATATTATTACTACTACTACTATTATTATTGTTGTATATAATTATATAATAAAACCCCAATAAAATACACTGAAGATTCCGATTTTTGAAAGTTCAGGGTTAAAGATGCTCCTACAAGGCACAGAACTACCCTGGACCAGAAAACGATGAAACCGCATGGAAAACACCATAAAATACAAAGCATCCAGTGATTATTGGATTTACTTAGAAAAGTCAATATGTTGTTCATGTTATTAAGATTTCATTTGTTCACTTCCAAACATTTCTGCATTTCTGGCTGCAACACATTTACGAATCCTTTGGGGAGAAGCAATTCAGCATTGAAGACAAAAAGAAAAGATATTCCAAGAGACAATTTTAATTCTTGTTTGGTCATCAGATCCAGGCACGATGGCAAGTATGAGGAGAAAAGATTGTGAGAGGTTCTTCAGTCGGACAAGAAAAGTCCACAAAAAAACCACTGAACAGGTTCCAGGTAATGTATACGTCTGCCTGTGCAGCTCCGATCCTACAGCTGATAGAACAACATGGACTTTGAAACCCTTCGTCAGCAAAAATGGAGCAGCCAGAATGTAGAAAGTCACATAATGCAAACATTCAGGAAGAAGGCCTAAAAAAAACCTGTTGTGCAAAATTAACTTTTCACAAGTTTTTAGACTTCCATTTGGATCCCAAGAGCTTCTAAAACCAGCTTAAAAACTGGAAACTCTTGTGTTTTGTGATCTCAATCATTTTGGAGAAGAAATGCCAGCGACATTAAAATGGAAAACTGAGCTGAATTTTTATGGAATGTGTTGCAGCCTAAAATGCAGGACTGGATGGAAAATAACCAAAATGAAGCTTGACATCAGATATTCAAGAATTGGACAATCATTTAGCTTTTTCCATGTTGTTCCAATGTCTTCTGATTTAGCTTTAGTGAAACCTAAAAACTAAAGGACTGGCTTTAGGTGAAATAACTAGATGAGCAAAAAGTGACCAGTAGGAAGGAGGAGGATCAGTTCGGAGCCGACGGACCGAGACATTGTAGGATCGGAGAGCTGTGCAGGTTTAGGATGGGTGACAGTGAGGAGGGAACCAAAGGGAACCACAGCTGTTACAAATGTGTGTTTGTTAAAGATGGCATGGAGGTTCTGGGGCGGCGACGGCGGGCCCTGCAGCCGAACCTCTTACCTCGCGGCTCGGTTCGGGTTTGGGAACGGAAACTTTAGAAACCGTGAAATGCGGGACTGTGGACGGAGCGACGCCGGAGTCCACATGGGAGGAGACCTCGGCTGTTCTCTGAATCTGGAGTGACCAACACATGAGCCGTTAGGGAGAGTCTGGACCGATCCGGTTTGATCTAACAGCCGAGTCCTCAGACCTGATGGATCTGCTGGACCTCCTGGATCTGGACTCGTCGTTGCTCTTCGGTTTTTGCAGCAACAACCTGCTTGTCTGTTATCACTGCTGCCTTCTGCTTCACCTGGAGAACCTCCTCTTCTTCCTCCTCCTCCTCTCCACCCCAGACCCCCTCCTCATGAATGGGCTGGCGAACACGAGCAAGGTCAACGGCGGCCAACACGGTGGCGACCGCCTCGGCTTTTTTCTCCCCTTCAGTCTAAAGGTACAGCCAACAGCAAACAGATCTCAGGAAGGTTGACAGTCGAGTTAAAAAGGTTTAAAATATTCAACCAGGAGAAGAAGAGCAGCAGCATGGGGAACATCAGAGGGAAACAAGGAGATGGAGAAACGTTGGCACTGGGTTCTTCATACGAGTACTATCATTTCCAATTTGAACTAAGAATGGTTTAAAACCTTCAACTTTTCTAAAAGTGAACTAAAGTTTGGAAAGAAGATGTGATTTAGGAAGCACCAGCCCTGTTTGTCCACTTTGATCCAACTTGTTTGTTTGTCTAGAAAGACTGGTTTGTTTGGGGAGGTGTGAATGTATAATCAAACTCCGATGTGGACCAAAAATGTGAACTCTGGTCTAGGTCAAGGTTCAATTGAAGTGAACTCTGGTGCGGTTTGATTGCATATGGGAATGCAAAGTGGCCTGCAAACTTCTCCAAAAGAAGGTGAAAGGCATTCTGGGTAAATACAACCAAAACAAACACAAGAGTCTAGCGCTAGCCAGAGAAATGGTTTGTGGTCTTTCACGAAAGACAAAAGAGAAATCCTACAACCACTAAAATCTCATGCCACTCCATTTTTGTTTACATTTGGTAAAGCAGGAGTTTGTGCTCAGAGTCTTCCTAGAGGTTTTCATGTTGCTTCCTTCAGTTGTTCTTGGTGCAGCGCCCCCACAGGTGAGGAGGGGGAACGTGTTGCTCAAAGAATTTGGATTGTTTGACACAGTGAAAGTGAATCATATCAGCTGAAAATGGACCAAATGTTGCAATTTTTGTCCCCGATCGAACCCAGTCTACCTGACTGTCAGGTGTGAAAACATCCTTAATGGTCTGATGGGTCAACAGGAAGTTAAAGGTTCTTCCTCTGGAGGGAAGTCAAGTTTATCTGTATAGAACATTTCAGCAACAAGCCAGTTCAAAGCGCTATGCATCATAAAAACAAAATGCAGTAACCAATTATTAAACAAGCAATGAATGTTACATTCTGTCAGATACCATCATCAAGCAAACGTACATCAAATATGGTGATCAATGTTCCATTTGCCACTAATTAGAAACGGCTCTAAACAAGCCTTGATGTAAAGGAACTCAGTGTTTCAGCTGTTTGCAGTTTTCTAGAATTTTGTTCCATATTTCTGATGCATAGAAGCTGAATGCTGCTTCTCCTCGTTTGGTTCTGGTTCTGGGGATGCAGAGCAGACCAGAACCAGAAGATCTGAGGGGTCTGGAAGGTTGAAACAACAGCAGATCTTTAATCTATTGTTGTGCTAAACCGTTCTGTGATTTATAAACTAACAACAGGATTTTAAAGTCTATCCTCTGAGCTACACGGAGCCAGTTTGTGGACCTTAAAACTGGTGTCATCTTTCTGGTTTTAGTCAGAATGCCAGCAGTAGCATTTTGGGTCAGCTGCATCATTCTGATAGATTTTTTTAGTCAGACCTGTGAAGACGCTGTTGCAGTAATCAATACGACTAAAGATAAACACATGGATGAGTTTCTCTAAATCGAGCTGGAATGTTAATCCTTTAATCCAGGAAATGTTCTTCATGTGACAGAAGGCTGGCTTTGTAACTGTCTTTATGTGGCTCTGAATGTTCAGGTCTGAGTTCATCACAACTCCCATCTGATCCAGAGGATCCAAGATACAAACACATCCACCAGTAAACACCAGGTCGGATCAGAACTGAGAAGGACTCTCCACTCACCTCTCTGCTGGCGGCCACCTGATGCTCCCACTGTTTCTCCAGCTGTGTGGAGCTGCTGATGCTGCTCATGCTGGTCATGCTGGTCATACTGGTGTAGCCTTCAGCCATGTAATCTCCCTGCTTCCAGGGCGGCAGAACCTCAGCGGACCCAGATACCTAAAGCAGACAGGAGGAAGGTTTTGGATGACGCAGCAAGAGAACTCCCTTTGGTTCTGATGCAAACTGGATTTACTGAAAAAGTTTGTTCGTTTCACGCATAAAGGATTAGATTCCTCATTTTCTGAATATATACAATAAATGAAATTAAATGTTTTAGTCTAAGTCTGATCCTGTACAAAACAGGAAACCTTACCTGAGTGAAGCTGACCCCCTCACCTTCTTTAAATCAAATTAAATTGGTGTCAAATGTTTGTGCCGCTATCATTTTAAAAGATATTAATAAATGTTTCCAGAGGTCATCAAAGGTCAACCAGCCCCCAAAACTTTGACAAAATCATACAAATTTGGTGTAAATCAAACTGTGCTAGCTAACTTCTGCTACATCTTTTTTGGCTGCCAACTTGTATTTAGACATGGTTGCCATTTTTACTGCTTCAGATCTTTCTCAGTTAAAGCTGATCCACAAAAAGACTGAAAATCATATCTCTTTTTTCAATTACATTTATGTAAAAAAATCAAACAAACAACAGAATAAGGTTGAATGTTTAGTTTTTGTGCCAGAAAGTTGTGGAGAAAACCAAGAAAAGTAGACAGACAGCCGTTTATGAAGTAAATGAAGAGTTTACGCTTGAATGAAAACCCGAAATGTTTCTCAAACATCTCTCAGGATGTTTTTAATAGTTAAAGGTTTAGATGAAACAGCCGGACTTGGTCTCTCTCACCTGTTTTCTGGTCATCAGGGGAGACCGGACAGGTCTGATGGGAGAGATGGACATCCTGCTGGAGGGAGAGACGGGTCTGCAGAGGACACCACTTCATTAAACCTCACAGCTCAGCCGTTTGAACCACAGCGCACCTGCAGGCGGACGCTTACCTGACAGGTGCGGGCGTTGGCCCCTTCACGTGTCTGACGGGTGAAGGCGACTGCTGGCGGCCTCCCGTTACCTTGGAGATGAAGGATGGCGGAGACTTGGATGTGGGTTTCGGTGGGACCCTCGGTGGGGTTTTGTGAGCAATGTGTTGAGTCATGATTCCTCCTTCAACGTGCATCTCCATCATGGTGGTGGCCTGGAAACTGGCCTCCATGGATTTCTGAATAATACAGAAATGTTTATTTCTTTAAAACATTTCAGGTTTTAAAGGTTCCAAAAGCAAATTTTGATCCAATTTACTTATTTCAATCTTTAAGGCGGACGTTTTCCGCATGTACTTTTCCCAAAGGTTTTCTCAAATAACGACTTACTTTCCCAGTGGTTTTCTCAAGACAAGTTAGTTTAACTCATTAACTCATTATCTCAAGAAAACATCATTTTCAAAACAGCACTAAAACTTTAAGAAAGGCCTCTTGAAATAGATTTTCCCGATCACATGTTATTTTAACAGTATTTCTTATTTTTATTTATGAAATTCTATTAATATAATTTTTCATCTTGTGTTTGTCTTACGAGACTACAGATGGAAATTAGCACAATATTGTACATTCATTGATATTTAAATTAAATAAAATTTATTAAATTTAATTTAACGCCACTGATGGCCACTAGGTGTCACTCTGACTCCACTCACCCTCTCCACTGTGGCTCCAGACATCTCCATCTGGGATGTGGACATGATCGTCTTTGTTTTCTTAATGGGAACTGCTTCTTCACCTTTATCAGACACACAGCAGGAAGTTTAACTCCAGTCCAAACAGTCAGAACCAGAACCTGAACCGGACTTAGCTCACCTTGAACCAGCAGCTCGCAGGTGGACGTGGCCCGCCCGCTGCTGTTGGTGGCCGTCACAGAATACGCCCCAGAATCCTCTGGGAAGGCCTCAGCGATCAGCAGACTGTACAGGTCTCCATCCTGCAGGATCTGGAAGTCGGTGGAGCTCTGGATCTCGGCTCCCTCCCTGTAGAACTTCACCACAGGTGTGGGGATGCCTGAGACTCTGACGCTCAGCCTCACCTGGCTGCCCTGCCTCACTGTGGAGCTCTGGAGTCTCTGAATGAAGGTCGGTGGCGCCGTCTCGGCTGCAGGAACCCAAAGAAAAATCAGGACATTTTCATCAATTTTAAACTTTAAACCAGAAATAAAGGATCATTCCTGAACTTTGACCTCATCAAGCATTCCCTGCTGACCTCCGTTGTTCTGTAAATGATGATTCAAACGCCATCATCGCGTAATAAAAGTCCAGATTCCAGTTAAGGAAAGCTATGCTGCAGCAGCTGCATCTATATCGGTTTTATCACTGGATTAAATAACAAGCTCTGCCCACACAGCTGATGGTGGGATAAATTTAGACTCGGACCGGAGCGCACTGCTTCACTCTTAAACTTTTATTCACCCAACGTCACGGTTCAGTTAGCTGCTGTCATTAAAATGACACTGAACACCGACGGTCAGTAAACTGAGGGATGAAATACCAGCTGCTGCTGCGAAGGTGTCGATGTGTGAATTTAGGAGCAAAATATAACTTAATGTTGTGAAATTAGTTTCTCAATCTGAATTTAATCTTGTTGTCATAACATGTAATCCATAATCCAGGATCTGATTCTGAAGCAGCAAAAGCTCTAAGTTTTTTCTTTCCCTTGTCATTGTTCCTTCGTCTCTTGATCTTTGTCTTTGCTCTATAAACTTTACTGCCTGATGAAACACTTTCAATTTAATCCAGTCAATTATGTAACAGTGGGAAAATGTCATTTCCTCTAGACGGAGGTCCAAATCTGACCCAGCTCCATAAGAGAACCGGACCCACCAGACATTATTTAAACTAACATCTAAACTTTTCAACTTTTTTGATTATAATTTCTCAATTTCTTCCTTAATTATTTCTAACCTATTTTTTTTAAACAATTATCTATTTTCTGCATTTTTAAAATAATTTTTCAGTTCTTAAAAATATATATTTATATATTATATATATAAAAAACTATTTTGTTAGTTTTTTCTTCAAATTAATCAATAAATTTTTTTTAAAGTATGTGTAGTTCAAAGATATCTTATGATCAATAATCAATAATTGGTGGATAATAAAAACTGATTACATTAGTGAGAATGAAATAAATCCAGTTCATAAATCACCTAATTGAAGCTGGAAATCCGACTCCAGTTAATGATCAATCAATTACTAAATTAGTTGACAATTATTTCAATAATTAATTAATCACAATTAATACAATTAATCATTTCAGGCATAATTGACTGTTAGTCTGAGGTTTTGGTTTTCAGGAAAATAACAAAATGATCAAACATGGAAGAAAATCAACTAGAGAGATTATGTCTCAGAATCACTCAGTCTATTTGAGGTGCAGACGGTCTAGTCCAATCATCTCACCTGTAACCAGGAGCTCAGCGGTGCTCGTGGCTTGTCCAGCGCCGTTGGTGGCTCTGACAGAAAAGCGTCCGCTGTGTGCGGCGGTCACAGCGGGGATGCTCAGAACAGCGCGGCCGTCGCTGAACGAGATCTGGACGCCGGGCAGAGCTGCGGCGGAAAGAACCTGGCCATCACGGAACCAGCTCACCTCAGGAACTGGAAAACCTGCAGAGGAGAAGGTCAGAGGTCAGGGAGGCAGGAACGACATGCTGCAGAACTTCAGCTATAAAACACTGAAGATTTACTGTAAGTCAAGAGACTGCACCAAAAAACAATCCACCTTAAAATCAAGCAAATAAAGTAGCCCAATCACCAAATAACTGAAATTTTCTAAAAAAAAGAACTTGGAAATTTCTGAGTTTAAAAAGTTGAAAATTTGCAAAAAAAAGAAATGAGAAATTGTGAGATTATCCTCAGAAATTTTCAAGAAAAAAAATGTAGATTTGATTACTTTTGTAACTCAAAAATGTCCAAGTTTTTTTCGATGGTAATTTATTCTTCCTTTTCCTTATCTACAATTCCCCTTATACACCATTGTAGATTTTGCTGTATTAAAAGAAAATTATTAAATTTTCAGTTTTTTGGGGTTTAATTGAACACATTTATTTTCAGTAATAAAACAGGATTTGGGTCACTTTGTTATGTCTGGTCAGGATTAATAAATTAAATAAAACTTGATTTGGATGTTTGTGGATAAATAATTGTATATTTTGCTAAAGCTTGGTTATTTAAACACTTTGCGCTGTACTTTACATTTTTCTTTGTAAGAAACGTATACCTGTCATAATTTTACCCTTGTTACAAATTAAAAGCCTCCATCTGCATCTACAGGCCAAATCTGTATCATTTTTGAATTGCAGTTGGTTTGGGAGTCGCAGAAAATCAACCCACAGACTAAAACCAACAAAGTGCAGTTAGTTTGTTGAAGTTTATTTTTACTTGTTCACCAATGCAGTCAACCTATTGTTTTTGTCAGTTTCATTATTTATTTTACATTGTCTTTACATGTTTGACTAAGCTTGTAAAGCTACAGGTGTATTTAAACGTGCTGTACCAGTGCAGAGTAATCAAATAAATGTGTAATTCTTTACATTTATGCCTGTGTTTAAAAAGAAGAAAGAAATGTTTTAAGTGAGTTCAGCTTTTGCTTGTGATGCTCAGATATTGCAGAGTTACGTGATGCTGCCATCAGATGTTTTCTTACCACTAACTTGAGCCTCGAACGAAGCGGCACTACCCTCCAGTGCCACGACGCTCTGCAGCGGCTGAGTAAACGTCGGCGCTTGTGTTGACATCACGGTCGGCACCCTGAGGACGGCAACACAGAACCATCAGAAACTAGATGCTCCCTTACAACCTGAAACTATTGTCTAGTTACCTACATATGGAACTGGAGAAGATAAACTGGTATCAACAGGTTTAATATTTACATTCTGACAGCAGCAGACACTTTTCTTTTAGTGCCGTAATTTAATTAATCTATCAATTATTCTAACGATTAATCGATTAATTAGATTTAAAAATGGGACACTCTACAAATTTTCATTTAACCACCTGAGCCTCCATCTTCCTATGTACTGGAAATACATTAAAATATATTAGAAATACATTAAAAATGCAAATAAATAATTAAATTCCTTTTTAAAATAAGAAACTGAACATTTTATTGACTAAAGTGCAATAACATAAGACATACTTACAGACAAATATGTTTTTATCTTAAATGGCTTAATTACTGCTCTGAATATGTTGTTTTTTCACTAAACTGCCTTTCGTACTTCAGGTGACGATTAATCGATTACTAAATTTGTTGACAATTATTTTTAATAATCGATTAGTCATTTCAGTCCAACTTTCTTTTTAAGCAGAAATGCTTGAATATCCAAAGTTTTAGAAACATCAAGATACTAGTTTATAGCCCAAGCAAAAGGATTTTACTGGATTTGATTATCGTTATTCATTGGAAGTTTAAGCTGTTTGAAGCTGAAGGAGAAAAAGAATCAGAATCACTTTATTGCCAGTAAAAAGATCCAAGGCTGGGAAATGGCTTTAATTTAAGGGTGAAAAAATAAATAGTAATATATGTAAAATAAAATATGACTAGAATAGAAGAGCAGCTAGTGAGATGTTCATTAAACTCCTGAATGCTACTCAGAGAGGGAGTTCAACTCAGAAGCTAACAGGTAAGATGGCAGCCAGTGAACATAAGACCTGCTACAGGAAACAGGAGTACCCAGAGAAAACCAACACATCCACGAGGAGAACAATGTGGAACATGCAAACACCAAACAGAAACATCCCAACCAGGATTCAAACCGTCAACCATCAGCTGTGAGGCAACAGGGAGCCATCGAACTGAAATCTGACTGTGGGCTGGAAATGGGAAACAATCCTGATTTAACGGAAACCACCACCTGGCTGGAAAACAACGGACGGACGGACGGGTTATTTTTCAAATTCTTGGTTCTGATTCATCCAGTTCTGAAGGTTCCCATTCCACACACTTCCATTAATTTCTAAATGAGTATTAAATTGTTCTGTTTGGACCTGGATGGTTCTGCTCATCCCTGAATGTTCCTGTTTGGACCTCAGCAGCTTCCGTCAGATTCTAATTACCATTTTGTGGTCCATTCTGGGGAAATTAACCGAGTCTAAATCTGATTGGACCAGTCCTTTTCTGTCTGGTTCTGTTATATAGACATAAGTTAAGTTGTTCTTTTAAACCAATCTGATCCAATTGATTTTCAATTGGATATTGATACCTGCCCAAATTTTCATTTTGATGCATCCTGATATGACTTTAGTCTGATAATTTCAAGAATTCTTTCTTTTTCTGGTAATTTTGCTTAGTTTTAATGTTTTATAATCGAAACCAAGTATTTTAATTCTCATGTGAGCTGCTTGTTTCCATCTTATTCTGCTTTAGAGGATTAAAACAGAACAGAACCAACATAGGTGAACATTACCAGAACCAGAACTGGTTCCTGCTGGGCTGAACGCAGGAAAAATGTCTCGTTATAAGTGAAAAAATCTGCCAATATTTTCAAACATATTGATTTAAAATCAGCGTGTTTATCTTGCTGACTTTTTAGTTACTTTTGTCCCATTTCATGTGTATTAATTATTTGAACTAGAAACTTGACAAAAATGTTGTTTTTGCCTTTTAATGTAGACATTTTACATGTTTAAACATCAAAAATACATTTTTATTTTTTATATAATATTTTATTTATGTTTAACGTAAACACTCTGCCCCCTACAGGTCATAACCAGGAAGTGCTTCAGGAGTTTGCCACGATCAGATTTTAAAACATTATAAACATGTAAACATCCGGTTCTGAATGTTCTGGTAGATCTGAGCTGTCTATAATTAAACCTGAGTGATTATGAAGCCTTTCTTTTTTTTAACTGACATTTGAAGCTGGTGTTGTTGTGATGTGAGTTTATTTCGTTTAGTAAATCAGAACATCAAAATCAAGCCCTGAGTTTCAGCAGAAACAAAAAACTTTTCTCATCACAAAGCAGCAAATTTCTGCTTGTTTCTGAAATTGTTTTGTTTCTGAACCCCGCAGTGACCATTCAGACTACATAAGCATCAGATTTTCATTTGAAAATAGAAAACTGAACATATTTGTTGAGTTTTGGAGTGAAATAAGCTTTTTTCTTTAAAATAAACCACATTGAGCAGATGAATCATCCACTTTACAGGAGGAAGCTACAAACATCATGTGGACCAAAATTGTCGATTCAAAAAGTGCTTCCAGGCACTTTTGAATCGACTGCAGTTTCAATGCAAAAACACAAAATCTTAACAAGTATTTTGGTCTAATTACCAGTGCAAATATCTTAGTAGACAAACTAACTTACAAGTAACCATTTAGGAAGATAGAGGAGCTTGTTTTAAGTCAATAATCTGTGAATACCAGCTCCACTGGCAGATTATTTCACCTGTAACATGGAAAAATGTCTTGTTATATGTGAAATATTCTGCCAGGAGGAACTCGAACTTTTTCATCAATACTAAGGAGTTATTGACTTAAATAAGCTCCCATTTTTCCAAAAAGTAACTTTTAAGTTAGTTTCGTTTTATTTCAAGTGTACTAAAATGTTTCCACAAGGAACTACACCAAAAGTCATTCCTAGTGGATTTTGTGTTTTTGCACACATTCAGTCCAAGGGCCACAAATGGCCCCGGGCCGTACTTTGGACACCCCAGAGGAAAACCTCTCAGACAGAAACTTTGTGGTCGGATCATCAGAAGGACTCCTGCAGCTGCTGCTTTCCAAAATAAGAGCCTCAGTGAGGTGTTGCTTCTGTCAATCAGCCCAGTCTGAACTGAGGGGGGGTCCAGGTGCTATAAATACACCTTCCAGCCCCCGGGGTTGACTGACAGCCACCATGTGGGGCACATATCTGAGAGCTGATAGCCCTGCTGCTGATTCCCTTAAAAAGCCATCAGCCTCTGGGACGCTCAGCAGCTATTCTGGGCGGTCTGCATCACCTCCAGCAGCAAGTGGTAGAAACCTTCATGGCTTCCGAAAACCCAAAGTCCGTCCCAACAACTAAAACTCTGCCACTCACCTGTCAGCGCAAGGATGCCTGGGGGGCCCACGGCAGGGCGGGGTGCAGGAAATCTAAAATCTTTATCCAGAAACGGGTCGGAAAGTCCAGAAGAGCAGCTGAGCGGCGCAGGAAGCCCTCAGAAAAAAACAAAACTACAGGCCGGCGCCGTGTAGTTCTGTTTTTCCTCCTGACAGCAGTCCCTCCAGCCGAGGCGTCCGGGCCGGGAACGCTGACTCTGCTCAGGGCTGCCCACCGACCGCCGGGGGCTTTATACGCCCCTGACATCACGCAGGGACAGGCCTCTGATTGGTCGGAGCCGCAGGGGATCCTGGGAGGGATGGACACTTTATACAAGTCATTGCAGCAGCTGCTGCCTGGAAATCAAGAGATCAGTTGAAGAGAAATCTGCTTCATTCAGAGGAATCAGGGATCTATGGAGGAGGATTTATGTTGAACTCAAAAGATTCTCACAATTCTGACCTTAATTTCAGAAAATTAGTCAGAATTTTGAGATCAAAGTCAGATTTTTGAAGAATATAAGAACAGTTTGCTGTGTCTTTGAAGTGTGTGGATAAAATGTTGACTAGAATGTGTAAATAATTTTCTAACAACTTAACCTCATGTTTGAGTCGTGATGCTTTTGTTTAGAAGGAACAATTTCTTGTTTATAAGCACAAAGGCAAGTTAATCAAAAGACAGAACATAAGTTGTAACGGAGCTTATAAAATGTATCTTATTTGCAGCTTTCTTGATACAGACAAAATGTATGTTTATGATGTAAATAATGCTTGTGATTTAAACTATGCATTTGTTTAATTATAACCCAAAAATAAAGCTAATTTACATTGTGAACCTTATTTTAAGTTCATCAGTAAAGTATGTCAAGTATCTACAACTAATGGCTTGACCTGATGACAATAATATCTTTGTTTCTTTATCAACTATTTGCCAAACCGTCTCCACGTCTATTAAAGGCCTTTCTGTGAAACTAGAACAGCGATCTTCAGAAACGCAATCAAACACTAACAGTTTATTTTAAAACTGTCATTTTAAAACTGAATTTGTGGTATTTTAATGAAGGGTAATATAAAAAAATGACCAAAACTGGCAAATAAGAAAACGGAATCCCTTTTTCTTTCTTTGCTCTGTCCTTTCAAATCCCCCGGCGGTAGTGACAGGTGACCTTTCATACAGAACCTGGTTCTGCTGGAGATTCTTCCTGTTTTTCCTCTCCACTGTCGCTGCATGGATCCTCAGTATGATGCATTGCTTAATCTTTCTTTTTTGGAAGTTCTTCCTGTTAAAGGCAAGTTTTTCATCTCCACTATCTCCACATACACATTCAGTATGGTGATGGTGATGGAGAATAGTTTTGAGCTCATGGTTGAGAATTGAAGGCCTTGTTAACACTACATGGTGTATGGATGAAGAAAATATAGAAGACCATCAACAGTTTTTGTTGATATGGAGACTGAAGACACCAGATGGCTTCAGACTGGTAGATGGTCTGGATATCAAGATGGTCGCTGTGGCACAAGACTCCAAACCCACCGGCAGGAAATGTGGTTTGCTACTTCCTGTAGCCACCGCTCAAGGCTCTGAAGTCATCGGATGAGTTCAAGGAAATTTGTGACGGAGTACAACGAAGCGATGGATCCATCACAGGTTCGATGCTTGTTTCAGGAAAAACACGGTGGGCTGTGTGAAAGGTAGAAGTTTTGCTCTTGGGTACAGCAACCAGAACAGAGCTTGTATTTCCAGCGGCGGGCAAAGGTGTGTACGGAATCCATTATAAAGGTCACTAAGAAGGTAGCGACGACAAAAAACACGACCAATAATCCACAGGGGAAAAGCCATTCAGACACCCTGACCACCACTATCCCCTCCCCCCGACCAGAGACAGAAAAGAGTTAGATCTGGTACCTGCACTTGTCATGTTGTCCTTCAGGCTCATCTTGTTTTCGTCTGATTTCACCCTCATCGCCCCTCATGGCTCAACGGAAAAGCTCTTCATCGGCATCCCCTCGCTGGTGAATGACCCAGTGACCCGGACTCACCTGACTTCCTCAAGAAATTCTGCAGGTATTTTGTTCCAGTGATATTTACGTGTGGGTTTTTGGAAAGTGTCGATTCATTCTTAGTAGGTAAGTAGTAATAGTAGGTTTTTTTTACGTTACTTGTTGTATATATAAAGACCTTAACGCCAATATTGTCAATGTCTGTTTTTTGTAGCATTATGATATTTGTCATTAAAGATATTTTATGTGATGTTTGTTTAAAATAAAGTAGAAAAAAGCCTGAAAGAAACTGAATCAAGCTGATTGAAGGCAGCCATTTTAATACTGTCAGAACAGTGATGGTAGAGGAAGAACTAACACCAAAGCGCCACCTATAGGCATCTCTCCAGATCGACTAAATTAATCTTCCTGATTTTATTGTCCCCCTCTGTGGGCTGTCACCTCATCCTAGGAGCTGTCAGACTTCATGGCTCTGGTTGGGTCGGGTCTGCCGGGGCAAACGGCTCCTAGATGAGGGATCGGACCAAGAGCAGCCCAAAGACAGAAGTTAGGGGTTTGCTCAGTGTTTTATCCTGCCTGGTCCTCCACCAGACTATGGGTTGTTGGTTATTTTAAATGGGGATTCTTCCACACTGGTGGCAGTAAAGACGGGTTTAGCTAAAGGTTTATATTTGAGGCATTGAACAGGCTGTGTGGGTTATGAACCACTTGTGCTGTCCCTTCAGCGGCCCTTTAGTTTCACACTCTGTAATTTCTGAATTATGATGCCTGCTGGTGCATCTGTGACTTTATGTAACATCATTTTTAACCCAAACACACAGCAAGCCACTGATGGACGACCCAGCATCCATTTTGACTTGAACTTCTTTAAGGAATGCTACAGGTATTTTGCTGGTAAGTGACATTTACAAGTGTGAGTTGAAAAGTGGCGATTTTATTCTGAGTTGTTAAAGGGTTTGACCTGAAACCTGCGTCTGTCTTGTTGTCCTCCTGGATCATCTTGTTTTCGTCTGATTTCTAACGATAAGCATTGGAGATTAAATTAAAAAAATAGGGACTGAACTGTTTTTTTATATCTGTGTTTTATAAATGGCGCATTTCCATGATTTTATTTTAAACTAACCTGTTTAAACCAATAAAAAGCCTTGTTTGAGCCAAAAACTTGTCATTTTATTAATTTCAGGAGCACAGAGAATTTTTTTACAGCTCTTTTTAAATTAAAGTCCCATTTAAACAGTAAAGAATCACCACAGATGTTGGCGATCAGAAGTTACGCTCCAGCTGCTGCTGTGAGAAGAAATTAAGCGTATCTAATAACTATAAAATCAAGAGACTAGTCTTTCTTTTTTTTTCTCCAAAGTTTGTCGTCATGCTTGGTTTAATATTTTAAAGTACTACAAACATTTCAAACCAAATTACAACACATGAAAGCTTGGGTTTACAGTCAGTTCAAAATTATGAAAATGACATAGAGGTCAAATAAGCTAAAGGCAGATTGACCTTCAGCTCAGATTAAACTGATTCAGATAATATCTGATGCATCCAGCAGAAATAAAAAGGTCAGAGCATAACTGCTTGAGTCAGAGTAAAACCAGGTAGAGCAGCCACAGCAGGACACAGAGAGTCCCAAACCAGGTGTTCCAGTCCTCCATGATGGTGTCCAACGCCTCCAACATCAGCCATTTATTATCAGCACCACTGCTGCTTCCAGTCAACAGCTGTAAGTCCTGATCCTGGTTCTGGTTCTGGTCCTCTTCAAGTTTAAACCTGCAGTGACCATGACAAGAGGTCAGACAGCACAACAAGCAGCTGCTGCCCCTGATCACATGTGAGGGAGTGGAGGGTTATCTTCAGTCTGTTACTGTGTGCAAAACAAGCTCACTCTGTGAAAAGGCAAACTGGTGTTTATATCGTTAAGTCTGTGAAAGATAAAGTCATAAACATTAAAAAGAGGCAAAATCAGGCAATGATTACCTGCAGCAGTTTCACTAAATTTCAGATATGCCATATTAGGGTCAGTGTAAATTGAAAAAAAAAGTAGTAAATTTATGTCAAAAAGAAATTCTAGAGAAAAAAAACAGAATAATTGAGCTTCAGAAGTTGAACATTTTCTAGAAAAAAAAATTACATTTTGAGATTAATCTTAGAAATTTTCTAGAGAAGAACTTGGACATTTGAGTTTCTAAAGTAAAATATTTTTCACTTTTGAAACTCAAATTTCCAAGTTTTATTCTTATATATGCTATTCTCAGGGTAAAGATCATTTATGCCACTGAACCATTGTAATATATGTAGATGTTCGTTCTTCAACAAATTAAAAAAGCAGAAAATTAGCAAAAACGCTCTTGTTTTTATTCAATATAACTGGTTAGGAAGGAGCATATTTAAATTTCATTTATTTGTTTCTTTTTGGGGGAGGGGAGTCATATTTTAATTATTTTACTCAATGACATGAGCCATGAACATCCCATTAAGTCGACCAATAAATCAGTCATGTAATCGGTGGTGGGCACACCTTTGCTAATGTGCTAATCATGGAGTTCATTTTTTGCCTAGCACTCTAGCTAACTTTGAAAATGTTTAGTGCACTTAGCTTCCCCTGAGCTAATTTTTCTGAATAAACTGAATACATTTTCTGAATAAATTAAATAAATTTCTGAATAAAGTGCTAAATTACTTGGCTGTTTTTCAAACTTTAAGTAATTTAGTTTTGGCTGTTGACTGTTATTTTCTGACGACGTGTGTTTTCTAACCGAATCCCTACTATGGTCGAACAGGCAAAATCAGAAACTGAGTTAGCAATAACAACAATAAAACTGATAACAAATAATTACTTCCTGAAGTTACAGGTAGGTGTACAAAGGTAAAGTTTATCATGCTAAGAGCAATTTACTATGTTTGACTTCGTATCAACATGACTGAATTTAGCGCTTTAGCATTAGCTTCCATTCAATATCTAACACTTCAGTGTTAGCAGTACTAATGTTTATGATTACTGCTTTACAGTAGTAATCAGTACATTTTAAAATGATGATTATGATGTCGTTTGTTACCACAGATGAAATTTCTGCTTGTTTTTGAGCAGAGTTATTAATAATCTGATGAAGCTTGAGTGTTACCATGGAGCTGGTTGTAAGCTACCCACCGAGTGAGCCTGGGCTCTGGGTTTCCCATCACCTCCACCTCTAACATCACTGGACAGCCCTCCATGACGGTGGCTTGAGACCAGGGCCTGGTGAACAAGGTGAGGCCAGGTTCAGAAACTTTTCCCAAAGGAAGAGACTCTGATGAGGGCTGAGGAAGACGAGCAGAAGGAAGAGGAGGCCCCTGGATCTGGGGAGTAAGTCTGATCTCCTCCCGGATAGCCAAGGGTTGACAAATATCAGGATCTTGAGATAGTGTTAGTACATGAGGTGTAAAATATGGAGATGTGCCATGCAGGTTAGCTGGATCAGGTGAAATGTGGGTCTGAGGCTCTGGGTGGGGAGGAGCTGAATTGGGACTCATGCTGGAACCATGCACACACTGCTGGGTGTCCTGGAGAGGGAAGACTGTCTGAAGACCCTGTTTGCTGCAGCAGATACTGGTGTTGCTGATGGTTTTAGGCTGTGGAGGGTTTTGGATGAGGTCTTCAGGTGGATCTCTGGGACCTGTGTTTGAAGTTTTGTTGGTCTGTGACCTGCCAGAAGGCAACGACTGGTTGAAGATGCTTTGGGTGACTGTGGCAGCTGTACTAATACTGCTGTCTTTAAGTGTTAAAGGTACATCCTGATCTGGTTCACTTTTGGTCTGCAAAAAGGTTGGATCTTGAGATGCTGAACTTTGGGGTTTTGTTGTAGAAGGTTCTAGAAGGTTATTATCTTGTGGTTGGGTTATGTCTTTATGGGGGATAGTGTCTGTAACACCGGACATGTGAGAAGACTCTTCAAACTTGGGGACTGGATCAGAGGAGGGATTGAGTGTACTTTCCTGTGCAGAGTTGCTGCAGACCATTGGGTTGGTAGAATGATTCCCTGAAACACATGACTTGATGTAAATGTTTTGCTGGGAAACTAAACTTGTGCTGATCTTAGTAAGACTGTCTTGTTGAGGTGTTCTTGAATTTTTGACAGACTTCATGTCATGATGGGTATGACTTGTACAATGATGAGATTCAAGTAATTCCCTCTTTTCAGGAAGGATACTGTTTGTTTTGGTGTAACTAGGATGGATGTTCAGAACCTCAGTCTCTCCTTTAGGAATGTTGTGATTGTGGAGACTTTTGTCTGAACCATTGAAGGACTGCAGATGAAGGCTCTGACTCAAATCCTGTGTAAGGGTTGTGCATGGACATCTCTGCTTTGGAGAGTTTTTAACTTTAGAGCAGTGTTTGTTGTTGTACCCATGGACTGGGTTGTCCAGAGAGAGGTCAGAGGTAGACTCTTTGGTTTTCAGGATGGTGCACAGAGTACTGGTAAAAAGTGTTGTAACAGGAACTGTGGATGGACTTGGGTTAAAGGATCTGGACTCTGACCTGAACCTGTGGTACAACAGAAACATCATCTTTCATCTGGAAGCATTAATGAAGTAGACCTTTGATCAAAGACCAGAGTGAATGTAGATCAAACAAACCTGGTCCTGCTGTGTAGTCTGACTGTAGGAGCTGGACAACTCTCCATCTGACTTGACTCTTTATGTTGTGGGACAGAATCAGTTGTAGTTGGTTCTGACTGGGCACAGCATTGGTGGCTGACCTGGCTGATGTGAACGCTATGAGAGCTAAAACAGAAACCCTCCTCAACATCTGACTGGAACATGTTGGACTCTGGAGTCTCAGCCAGCGGCGGCAGGGAAATGTCGTCAGGGGACGCACAATCGTACTCATCGTTGGAAAAACAATCCTCGGTCGTCACGTCTGGTTGATGGAGCTCCACATGTGGAGACGTTTCCTGGGTAAAGAAGAAAATAATTTAATGTTTTATAATATATTTGTCTAGACTGTTTTAAATAATGGTTAGAAAAATGCTCTGGATAAGTAATACAGAGGTATCTCAGCAGAACCACTGTAGCGTAACATGACTATAAATACCGTTGAAGTCTACCTTCAAGCCACAATTCCCTTGTCTGTCTGAACAAAACTCCATTATGTGATGCTTTATATTAAATACTACAAGTTTACCTGAGCAATCAGGGCTTTTTGGTGATATATAGCAGCGTATCATCAGCATGGAGGTGAATATTGCTGCTGATTCTAACCTGTAGTGAACTTGAGCCACAGAAGTTTGAACCGATGTGTTGTTCCGCTCCTTCCATTTCCCTAAGAAACTCTTCCTGGTCATCAGGAAATGATGGACCAATGGCAGACTGAGAGGGTGGGGCTTGAGGCTCAGAAGCAGCAGTCTGTGATTGGTTGAGGGCAGCTTGAACCTGCCGCTTGGCATCCACAGGTGAGCTGATGGTGAGGGTAGAAGTGAAGGAGGAGGTGAACTTCTCACTGTGTAACTCTCTGAGGTTAAAGACAATAATGTGAGGCAACACCAGTTTTAATAGTTTCAAACTGATGTTTCAATGATTTCTTTAAATCTCCAGTTTTTATTGATAAGCTGAACATTAGAGACGTGAAACATTTTCAGTTTTTATTCCAAAACGTCTTTTTTCAATCAGCCTACCAATACCGAGGACATAAAGCTAATAGAAATGATATTATTACATTTCATTTTTTGTGAATGTTCACAAACCCAGGTGGATCAGTTTCCTCTGATTTGTTTGTGTTTCATAATAATTTGGATTCAAGCCAAAAAGAAGAAAAACTGAGAAAACGAAATAATCTACAGCATTATGTGATCCTACTGACCTGTTTGCTGTCGGTCCGTTTACCGCCTGAGTCTTCTCTGACGGAGGCTTCCTATTGGCTGCAGCAGCCTCCTTTCCATCGTTCTCTGTGATCAGTTCGGGGGTGTGGCCTGTCTCTTTAAGTTCATGCTGGAAATTAAATCTTTTTTGTCAACATCATAAATCACACACTAATCACCTCTATATTTGAGTTATTTATCTCTACCATATCAGCAGCCTCCTGTGTGTTGCGGTTATCCTTCTGCTTCATCCTGCTCTTTTCCTCTGTCTTCTCCTGCTCTTCTGTCTGTCTCCCTTGTTTCCTCTCTACTTCCTCCTCTACATCCTTCTGCTGTTGCTGTTTCAGATTCTCCAACTGAATTCAACGTCCATCACAAAGAACAAAAGAAGAAACATTATCGACCGCCAGATGTAAGTGGGATCTTTGACTGGAGTTTGTTCACCTTCAGTTTGGCCTCCAGCTCCATCAGTCCCTCACTCAGCTCTCTGATGGACTCCACCATCTCTGAGTGTTTACTGACCGTCTTCTCTATGTAACGCTGGCCCTCCTCCACCCCTGAAACACCAAAAATATTTAATTTAATTCCTTGCATGTTTCTTAAATTACACATTTTTTAACGCAACACAAGAACAGTGTGGTTCATAATAGTTGGAAATCTGAAATCAATTTCACTGTTGATCTTAAAAAAAAGTGTCCAAAAACTGAAAACAACCAGTGTTGATATTTATGGAGCTTTAACTTTTTTAAGAATAAAAACATCTGTAAAGTTGACAACTATCCTTTCAGTATAAGAGCAACCTGATAATTAGATAGCTGTCATTTCAAAAATAAAAGTGCATCATATATGCTAATTACATAATAATAATGCCAGAATAAAAGCTCCTTTAAGATAATGAGACAAAGCTCAGTCAAACTCAGCTGAATTTTCAGAATGAAAGCTGTTCATGAGGAAACAATACTTTCAAAATAAAAGCTTGTTTTCTGATTATCAGACCATTGTCACTTCTGAATAAAAGCTTCCAAGATAATATGTATAAAAGCTCAATTAGATTCTCACACAGCTATTATTTCAGAATAAGTGTAGATGATTAAGCAGCTGTTTTTTCAAAGAGCTTGTGGTATCTGGTAAATAAGTTGCTGTCAGAATAAACATTTCTGTAAGATGAAGACAAGGCAGAAACTGTTCAGAATTAAAGCTGATTATAAACTACTGCCCTTTCAAAATAAATGCTAAATAAATGATATTAGATTAGCTGTTATTTCTATGTAGAGTAGCAGAGATTATCTCCTTTTAGAATAAAGGTTCTTTTTAGTGTCAGACAACTGTCCTTTAACAATAAAAGCACCAATAAATTCATAACCAGATCAAAAATTTCAGAGACATTATGAAAAAAAATCCATATAAGCTGTACTTTCAGAATAAAAGCTTGTTATTATACCACTGTACTTTCTAAATAAAAGCTCTTGCAGGATAGTTGTCATTTCTGAGTACAAACTCCAAAGAGATTTTCAGAATAAAAGCCTCTGCCTCAGTAGTGTTTTCCACCCACCGTGCAGTCTGACAGCCAGCTCTGTGATTTGATTGATCCTCTCCTCCTGCTGAGGAACCGTTGGCCAAACAAACTTCTCAAACTGCCGGTAGAGAACGGAGACGGCTTCGGTGCTGCGGCACTCCAAGGAAAACTTCCCAACGCGAGCGATGGTGGCGCTCGCCTCCTCGCACCAGAAATGGTACTGTGGATGCAGAGCGACATGCAGCTGTACACCCACTAATCGATCAACTCTTCAATGATCCCAATTGATCGCCGGCAGTGATACCTCCTCCATGGCCTGCTGCAGCTTGCATGTCATGTCCAGGGTTTTCTGGTGCTCACAGATGTTTCTCTCTAGCTGTCCCATCTGCCTCTGCAGCTCGTTGACGGTGTCCTCCAGCTGCCGGGCCATGCCCGTGTTTTTGACCTCCGATCCCAGCCGGGCCGTCACACCATGAACGCGCTTCCTGAGCCCCTGCAGGACCAGATGGACCACATTTGGTCAACCCAATATGACAAGAAAAGCAGTACAGAAGGAGTTCCTGAAAGTTTCACTTTAATTTCAGGCTCAAATTTCCAGGCGAAACCATCAAAGAGGATCCTAGAAAATTCAAAGCAGTCTATAGATATACTCCAGAGGTTCCCAACCATTGGGAACGTCAAAGAGGGAGTCTCTCTTAGAGACACCTGCACCCCCTAATGGGTGGAGGGGCAACAGGTCTACAGTTCTGCTGTTTCGATTCTTGACTTTTGAGCTCTTTATAGAAAAATTATCTTCTAAATGTTATAGAAAAGAAGGAAAGGCAATAACTTTTCAGTGCCATGAAAAAGAAACTTTGGTTCCTCTAGTAATAAAAGCTGAAAATCAGTAAATGATTGAGCTTTGTTTTGAAGCGCTCATTGGACCAGGTGGGTCATATCAGGGTTAATTACCAGGTAAAACTCTGATGTACCTGCAGCTTCTCCTGGTAAACCTCCATCTGCTGCAGCTGGTTCCAGACTGCCTTCAAGTTCCTCGTTCGGTCGTTTCTCTTCAAGTAGTTGAACTTTGTGTTGCTGAAACGTTTTTTCAGCTCCTTGAAGGACTCACAAAGCTAAAAGTTAAAACAGAATATCAAACAGAAGGTTGTGAACAGACAAAAATCTCATTGCCTAAGAATAATTTTGTGCAAAAAAATGTAATGAGCAAGATTTGTATAAACCATAGACCTAACCTAAACTAAGCATATTAAATCACCTTTAATATTCAGATTCATAATGGTGTTGTTTGTATTTGTTTTTATAAAATATGAAGGTTATCTTCTGCACTGATTAAGTCAAGGTTTCAGTTACAGGAGGTGATTTGTCCATAAAGGCGACAGCTGCTTTGAGCTCACAGGAGTAAAGTTACACCAAACAACAGTTCCTCTAAGGCACTACCTGCTCTAGAAATAGATGATAAACACTGTTGTTAGTGCTGAAGCTCAAAGAAGAACCGTCGCTTTCATTTAGAGCGTAAATGTCCAACAAGAGTGTTGAATTCAGGTTAAGAAGTTCATTGTTTGGTTGGGGAACCCACTGCATCCGATAGGGATGGGTCATACCTTATCACAGTATTTTGTGGTATTTATTGAAATAATGAAAATTGACAATAAAATGCATTTAATACTTCTTTAAAGTCTTTTTTCAAAACTTCCCATCTGTTAAGTCACAACTGACATGCACCGCTACCTAGTAACCAAAGCTGAAATCCAGCAGCTTATCGCTGCATAATGTCTGCTGCAAAAGACAAGTGTTTTACTTTTCAAAGATGTACGATTGTATAATTGCGCATGTGTTTGCAACCATTTTCATATGAGTGTAAATGCTGAATTGGGGGGCGTGTCCGGCAGCAGCTTATTTGGATTTAAAGTGACAGAGGCCATAAGACAGATAAAATATCATCTAAGAATGATTTTGTGCAAAAAAATAAAAACAACCTTTCTGCTACCTGTTTGATTTTGATGCTGTACACCAAGTTTATCTCAAAATAAACAGTTTGCAATCATCTTGTTTTTGTGTGCTCCTCTTGACAACTCAGAAATTACCAATATACCTTTTGGAGAAACTGTTGGTAATTGTGGGTTATACTGAGTTCTCCTCTTCATTCAGGAGAATCAGGGGGTTCTGTGGTTTGTTTCTGCAGCTCCAGCCACTTTGGTCTTTGATGGGATTATTTCTGGAGCAGAGGAACATTTCTGTCTCGGCTGGGAGGAGCGGAGGTGTCCAGTGTCTGATCTGTCAGCTGACGACAGCTGAGAGAGACGGAGCCGACTGTCAGCGGAACTGATTAAAACCAGTGGCTGGACGGGTCGTAGCGACAGGGAGGGGAGAAAGGAGGCTGGGGAAACCCGGGGTGAGTCAGAGGAAGGAGCTCCAATGGAGCAAGGAACAGGAGAATGTAGCTAGGCAATTATCACATTTCTGAAGATTTAATTTTGGGTTTACATGGTTCACTGTGATGCCAAATTAAAACTGGGAAAATAAACAGTATGAGTATATATTCATGCCACACTTTTTAGATTTTATGTATGAAATCATTTGAAAACTGCTACAGAGAAAGTCATCAGAACATGTTTGTACTGGTCAGGATTAGCAACCAGTTTAAGTCCTAAACACAGATTAATGTGTGTTTGTGATAGTCAACATGTTGCACCAGATGCATGATGGGAAATGCCTGTCGTCTGGCTGGCTGTATTTCAGGAGTCTCTCCTGCTATGGCACTGACCCAGTATCACCAGCAAACCATCAGACTGAGTGGGATCCATTTACTGGTGAACATGTGTAAAAACCTTGAAACAGATTTTATTTTCAGTTGTATAATCAAACTAAAAAAAAAAGAAAAGAAAAACTTAGTTTATGATTCTAATTTTTGTAGCTTCTTTTTATCATTTCTCTTTGTTCAGTGAGGACGATGGTAATGGAGGTAAAATCATCTCCAGAGCTGAGAATAACAGCAGAGACTGGCACTTGGTCACCATAGCAACCACTGATCGATATTGGGAAAACATGGGATTTTATTTGTAACTTCCTCAGACAGATGAGAGTAAAACTGAGATTTAAGGTAATAATATTTCAGGTGGGTTTAAATTTGGCGGAGTATCTGTGATGCTGTGGGTCTGTTTGTCTTGCAAAAGCATGAGCTCTCTAACATATCAGGATATTTATAATACAAAAAAACGGAATATGATCAAATAAATATTAATTTATTTTAAGGATTTTTAATGTGCACCCAACACTTTCCTATCATACAGATATTTCCTATAATCTTTAAACAATGGTTGTTCAGATCTGCTTTACAGAAATGTGTTAAACTCTGATTTATGATTCAAACAGAACAAGGCTCCCAAACTCAACTAAACACTGCGATAAAACAACACGTATCAGGAAACTTAGCAAAGAATATTCACATAGATGCAAAATGTTGTAATTTTTTGTTGAAAGGCTAATAGTCTCACAAAAAATCCCAAAGATGACACAGTTTGACAAAGATGATTTAAATCTACAGAAAAACCCTGAAGTCTGTCACCTTAATTTAAAGTTATCCCAAAGCAGCTGAAGAATTAATATTAATGATTAAGTTTCACCACTTTATAGAAAAAACAGATGAAAACTGACCAGAAAAAATTAATTGAGAAAATAAATTATGATGCATTGAAAACAGTTTTTAGGGAAGTAATAAATTCCTGAGCTGAAATGTGTTTCTGAGTAATTATAAGGTGATGATGATGATAAATATTAACACAGCAAAGTTTATGAGTAGGTAATCAGTAGAAGTCAGATTTTAAATGAGAGAATGAAAGCTGACAGCAGCGCCCTCTGCTGGTCACTTTGCTGATTGACAACTTGTTAAGAGCTTTCATAAGTTCATAATTTGGATCTCTAGAGTTGAAGCTCCAAAAATAACAAAAGAATAAATTTCTTCTGAACATATTTAGAAAACAGATGGATGGTTAGAAACATTCTGACCGATTTCAGATTAAAATGTTTGATTTCTGTGGTATAGTTTTGTTTGGATGTACTGTTGCTCGGCCTGCTCTGAGTTGAAACCTCACCTGGGTGATGTCTTCATGCAGGAGGTGAGTCAGCTGCTCCCTTCGGAGCTCCTCCTCACATTGAGCTGCTTTGTTCAGCCAGGACTCACAGAGAGAGTCCAGAGACCCCAAACGGATCCCCAGCTGGTCCACCAGGAAACCAGCCCAGTTCTGGAACACCAAGAGAACATCGCTGATTGAAGTTTCCATCGTGTGATTCAGTAAAAACAGCAAACTAATCATTCATACGCTTTGTGAAACCGCAGTACAGATGTCCGTCTTCATAGTCGACGTGGTTCTAAGGAGGTTCTGGATCTGCTGCTGGGCCTCCTGTAATCGACTCAGCTCTTCTTCTTTGGACCCACGTAAACCAGTGCAACCAGTTAAAGGACTGGGAGGTTCCGACTGAAGCAGCAGCTCCAGCTGGACACAGAAAAATTAACATTAAAATTAGGCACAGGTCTCTGGAGTAAGTTGTCACAACATCTCGCTCCTACAATGAGCTCAGGAGATGTGCTGTTCTAACAGGTATCGGCTAATTCTTGTTGGCTAATCGGAAGGCGGGAGCTTGGAAACTACAGGTCAGAGGAGAAGCAACACCTCCGCTCCTTCAGACTAGCCAACAAAAATTAGCAAATACCTGGTCCCCGAAGGCGTGTTTCACAGTTTAATGGTTGCCATGGAAATCACAGGATTTCTCAAACATGCATGAAAGAATCAAGGCAACACTCAGGTATGTGTTTAATGAAAAAATAACATGCTGTAAAGTAAAAAAGAAAAGTCAATAATGCTGTCCCTTTAAATAAACATTTCTAACTCCATGTTATTTTTTATTCAATCTTTGTTAAAAAGGGCCTTTTTAAGATCCCACAGGATGCCGACATTTGTTTTCTTCTCACCTGTTTGGCTGTGAGATGGAAGCTGCTGCTCTGCTTCAGGATCGACTCGCCTTGCTGTATTTTGTCCCTCACTGCTTGCTGTAGCTTCAGCAGCTCTGATAGATCCTCGTCCATCACTGCTCCTCCCAGCCGGGCCTGGACTCCGCTCAGGTTCTCCCAGCTCCTCACCGTATTTTCCACCTCAACATCCAGCTGCTGTGGAGAAAAGAGACCAAACGCCTCACAGCATCAGTCGGTTCCTAAACGTCCCGAAGATCTTTAGGTTCATCTGGTTCCAGATTTAGAAGCAACTCGCAGATGTTCAGATTCTGGTGTCAGATTCTTATTCTTCATTTTATAAAAAAGCAGATTTAGTAATAAATTTTTAAAATAATTTTTTAATCTAATAAATAAAAAAAATAAAATAAAAAAGAACCAATTTTTTATTTACATTTTAAAATATTTATCTTTATGAAACAAATACAAAGTTAAAAATTTGTAATCTATTTTTTATTTTCTGAACAAAAAATGTATTGTAAAAAGAAACAAGCAATGTCTCTTTCTGTTCCTTACTATTTATTTTATTTAGTTACATTTTGAAATGTTTTATTTTTTTATTTATTTAATAAAATATATGTATAAACAATATTTTTTTATTAAAATTTTTATCTTATTTTATAAAAATAATGTGAATAAAACTGAATAAAATCCCATTCGTGAAGCAGTTCTTACCCTGAAATGTGGTCCTGCCTGTCTGAACTGCTCCAGCAGCCTGTTGGTCTGCGGTTCTGAACCCAGATCCATGCTGGTGCAGGAGTCCAGCAGCTCTGAGACACAGTTCAGGTCCTGCCGGGTCTGAAACAGGAGGTTCTGATGTCAGAACCAGTTCTCTGCTCCACCCGCTAACAGACGGAGCTCCATACCTTCACCAGTCTCTTCTGGTACCCGCTCCTGAACTCCTCCTGTTGCTGCTGTGCCTCCGTCTGTTGTTGCTCACCGAGTCGGTTCTTTACTGATACCGGGTCCGACCCAGATCCAGAGATCTGGTAGGTGCAGAAATTTACTTTTCAATGTATTTCCAGTTTCAGGGCTGGAATAATTAAACTGATTCTGGTTCTGATGGATCTACCCGAACCAGGGACTCACCTCTGGTGTTTTGGTAACTTCTGGTTCTGATCCAGGTTTTGCATCAGATTCACATCTTAGTGGCTCATCTGACCTGGATTTGGATTTAGTTTCCACCATTTTGGATTTCTGGCTCTGGTTCCCAGCCTTCTCAGATCCAGATAGATGATTCAGATCCCCCTGCTGTGATCTGGTTTGGTTCTTCAGGTCCAATCTGGATCCAGTTTGGAGGTCGGTGATCTCAGCTGAACTGGATTCAGGTTTCTCTGATCCAGATCCACGTTGCTGTATTGATGCAGACTTCAGAGGCGCTGTCCCTGATCCAGTTTCAGGGATGTTTTCTGGATTACATTTGAGCCCAAAGGTTCTGATCCCCTCTGGACCGGATCCAGTGGATCCGGGTTTTCCATCACACCCAGATGTCTGCTGCTGTTCTTCTGATCTAGACCTGGTTTTGAAAACTGGTCTGGGACCAGATGTAAGTAATTCTGGTTGAAGTTGGTTCTTTGGTTCTGATCTGAACCCAGTTTGAGAGTCTCTGGAGTTTTGTGACTCTGGTTCTGTTTTCAGGTCATGTTGTAGGTCTGAACTCTCACCCAAACTGGATTCAGACGGCAGGTTTCTGGTCTTTTCTGATCTATTTTCAGTGATTTCTCCTGATCTGGATCCTGGCTTCACATCAGGTTCACATATGTGCAGCTCATCTAATCTGAACTTGGTTTTCAGAACGGTTGTAAAACTGAACTGTGGGTTTCTGGTCTCCTTTGTTTTGGACTCCAGCTGCTGTTTGTTGGTCTTTTCTGTTCCAGATTGAAGCTTTAGATCATTCTCCTGCTTTGATCCAGATCCTGGTTCTTCTGATCTGGGTTTTAGGTCTGATCTGGAATCAGTTTGTGACCCAGATTCTGTCTTCAGCTTTGTGCTCTCAGATGAACTGGATTCAGACTGCAGGGTTCTGGTCGTCTCTGACCTGGTTTCAGTGGTTCCTCCTGATCTGGACTCTGATCTGGATTCACGCTCGTCTTTGATTTCATCTAATCCGGACCCAGATTTCAGCTCTCTGAAATGATTTAATCTAGACTTGGAGTTTGGGTTGAACCAGGAATCTGGTTTTACGTCTGGTTCTTGTCCAGACTCTTGTAATCTGGATTCCAGCTTCACATCGTCTGGTTCTTCTGTCTGCTTTACACGGTTTTGTTCTGAGGAAGATTTAATCTGGAAATCTGATCTGGATCCTGACTTCAACCCCAGATCTTTGGTTTGGTCTGATGTCGATCCGAACTGCAGGTTCTGGTTCAGTAGACTCTGGATCTGTGGTAAAATAATAATAAAAACTGATCAGTAAGGTTAAGGGGAGCATAAAGAACAGCTGCTGATTCACTGGGAAAGATGCGACAAACAGTGGATTGTTGGGCCATTTATCAGTGAAAGCAGATCTGCATCAGTGAAATCAAAGATTTAGGCTGTTTTCACACCTCACAGTCTGATAGATTCAGTTCAATTTGAGACCCCAACTGCAGTATTTGTTCTATTTTTAACTGGTGCGGTTCACTTTCACACTGCACCATGTCAAATGAACCAAACCCTTTAGTGGAACAGAATGGCCAGTACTATAGTCTGCTTCCTGCTTTTGGAGCGGTGTGCGTGGCGTTCATATACACGTTCAAACCGCACCAGATTTCACTTCAACCAAACCGAGACAGAGGTTTTTAGGTTTAGAGTTTGTTTTTTTTTTTTTTTTTTGGTCTGCATCAGTTTGATTAAAGCAGAATAAACAGGGCTGGTGTGAAATTATTGAACATTTCTTCTTTTTCTTCCAGTTTTTCACAGGTTAAAACATGAATTCTGCTGAAATCAGCTGACAGAACATCAAAAGGAAGTGAACTGATTTTAAATGGTCAATAAAAACAGAAATGATGATCTAACATCAAGACTTGCTTTTCCTTTGGACTCTTCCCTCAAGTTGAGAACCACATCTGCCTGCTGCAGCTGCAGCCTGAAAGCCTGGTCGGCCCTCCGCCTTCGGTCCTGCAGGTCCTCCACCAGCTGCTCCAGCCTCAGCACCGGGCCTCTGCTGTACTGGGAACACTGGGAACTCTGGGAAGAAGCATCAACATCAGTGAGATCAAACAGCAAATTGAGAAAACAGCTGATTCATTCTGTGTCTTGTTGGCTGATAAATGACAACATGGTGATCAAAAGACATCCTGCAAACAGCACTGTTGAACTCTGACCTCTTGCACATCTTCTTCATCACCCTGCAGTACTCTTCCTCTCCTCTGGAGGGCCTCGGTCCTCTGCAGCTGCCTGAGTCTTTGCAGCAGGATGCTGCTGCTGGTTAAAACCTGCAGCGACTTTCCCAGAAGATCTGCAGGTCAACATAGAAATCATCATCATCTCTGTCAAAAATAAACCAGATTAATCTGTTAAAACACCTAAAGTTCCTTTACTAGACATTTATCAACACTTTAAGCTACAAAAACATCAAATTAGATGTCAGAAACAATCCCTGATCGAGTGACGTTTTCAGATTAGTAAAACTAACATGAGCTCTGATACCTTTCCTCATGCAGTCGTAGGAGACCTGAACATCATCCAGTTTGTCTTCATTTTTAATCTGGAGATCCTCTAATCTGTCGATGCCAATGGCAAACTGCAGACAGAGAGAAGCACAGGAGTCAGACAGGTATAAACCTTATTATTTATGTTTTGGTTTATTTTCTGAATGAAAATCAAATCACTATTCAATTAGATGAAGAGAAAAGGGTCTGAGAATGGAGCCTTGTGGGACTAAAAAGAAAAGGGTGTAAAAATAATGCACAGAATAGAAACTGTCAGCAGAAAGATAATTAGCTTTTATGTGAATTAATCTAATAACAAAACAGTGGGGATAAAAAAAATGTTTCATTTTTGTTGTTTTTGGTTCAAAACTGTTAGCTTGTCTGATTGTTCTTAATGCAGAGAGATATTAGTGATGAGTCATTTCCCCCATAATTGGTTTGAATCTGAAAAATAATTACATCAACAATGCTTATTCTCATCCATCTCATGCTGGAAGAAGTGGTTCCTGTTGTCAGAACATTGAGTTTGGATGTGATAATAAAATCCTAAAAAATAATCTTACTTTCAAAACTTATTCAAATGCTTCAAATTTCATGTTTCATTTAATGTCTGAAACTTCTCAAACAATGCTCATGAAGAATAAATCACTATATGATGTGACATATAAGCTATAAAAAGAAAGAAATGCTTTCATTTTAGCTTTAATGAAAGCTTTTTAGATTCAGCTGCAAGTTTTTACAGTTTAAACCAGTTTAAATGCGACATGTTGACCGTAGTGAGCAGCAGAGCAGTAAAACGATCTAATCTCCAGGATTATTCCAGCTGTCCAGGCTTTCCTGATTATCTGTGGCTGCAAAATGTTCCAGACAGCAGCAGGTGTTTCTGGTGAAAAGGTGTGCAGCCAGCCAATGAAAACGGTCCAGAACCAAAACCGGTTCAGGACGGAGGAATGTGTGACTGAACCAAACGACCTTCAGCCCTGCTGGCTAACCACAGAGGAAGGTCACAGTAAGTCTGAAGTTTTCACCCCCTCAAAGACATCTTCTGTTTCTGTGAGGAATTCTGACACACTAAACTGAAAGATATGAGTAAAAATAAAATGCAATTTTCTAAGCGAAAAAGAAAAGATACGTAAACTAAATTAAAGAAAAAACTGCAGTTGAAGACATTAAAGATAACTCTGTTCTTATTTTCTAACATTATTCCTGAAGTCTAATGGAGCATATTTTAATGTTTTCAGAACATTGTGAGCCTTGTTTTTTTTTTTTTTTTTTTTTTTTTCTGTCTTTTTAAAACCCCCCTTTTTATCCCTTTTTACCTCCCA